AATTTAAAAGATTTCAAAATTACTTGACTTAGTTTATGCTTGAATTTGGCCACTGAGTTGATAGAAAATCATAAATACTATTAGAAGGATCACAATAAAAATTGGTGGAAATCTTCTTTGAAAATCATATATCAAGTAGTTTCTAGGTAAAACATATTATTATATGGCAATTTTTTGCCACTGATATATGAGAAAATTTTCACCTTAAGATCAAGTTTTTTAGTAGAATTTCAGACAATTATGAAAGCAGTAAAGATGAGATCACTTATTATAAAGCAAACAAAAATATTGAAAAAATTGTGCCCTAAATGAAAAATAACATTAATATCATACATGTGACCTATAGTTGATGAATGTCATTTGGTCTCTTGTGGAGAGTAGTCTTGACATTGGCAATCATACCACATTTTTATTTTTATATTTTTATATGTAAATTCTACATACACATAAATAAAAGGAGATGTGGGATAAAGTAAATTTTACAGAAACCAAACAAAACAAGTTAACCAAGATAAACATCTACTGGCCACCATACATTGATTTGGTTGAAAAAGATCAAGAACTTAACTCATTCGCCCCCAAGAGATTTCTGGAAAATCAGGCATTTTCGAAAATTTGCAATCACATGCAAATTATATGCAAATTAGCAGACTCTTGATGCTGTAACTGATGCTCATCTATTAAGCTATGTATTGAGATTTGGGGGCGGATGGCATGGGTGGGGGGTGGGGTGGGAGGTGGAATATTTTCTCGTGGGTTTGAACCCACCCCCACTGAAAAATGTTAATTTTCCGTCTATTTTCCGATTTTAAAACGACCTTGAGAGGTAAACATTGACCAGACTGTTTTTCTTTGTCATTCAAGTATTACCCTATAGTTACAGCAGTCCATTCATGCTAACTGGGAGTATATTGGACTTAAGTGTCTTGCTGGGGAATTATTATTGTCAAGTCAGGTCTGCCTAAATGTCCGTTTTTACGGATTTTTGACAAAACGGTGACCTAGATTTTACGGACTAGATTCCTATTGGCCATATTATACCTCGTTGTGTTCCTGTACCACCTATGCATGCATTTATGATAATAGTTTATACCTACAGTCACTACCAGTTACGTAGTGGCCATCAAAAGATGCCCACCCCCACCTGATTTTGGCTACTTTTCACGTTTTTCCGATTTTGAACTCTCAAACGGCTTTCAAAGTGCCATATTTTCATGATCAGACATCTGAGAAGAGTTTATGGACCATGAACTGCTTGGTTGAAGTCCCTGCTATCATGACAGTTCAGCTGGGGCAGTTCAAAAATGGTATGGAGGGTCATACGGGCCATCAAAGAATGGTTGTCGCCATCACGCCTACAGGCGGGATTGGGGGCTAAAGGGTTAAACGATTTGATCAAAATTTTTAAATTTGACTTCTGTTGGGTTTGAGGGTCGTTTTGGGGTGTAAAACTGACCAAAACACTCTTTAGAGGTTGAAAATCGGGAAAAAAATATTTTTAGTTTAACTCATTCGCCCCCAAGAGATTTCTGGAAAATCAGGCATTTTCGAAAATTTGCAATCACATGCAAATTATATGCAAATTAGCAGACTCTTGATGCTGTAACTGATGCTCATCTATTAAGCTATGTATTGAGATTTGGGGGCGGATGGCATGGGTGGGGGGTGGGGTGGGAGGTGGAATATTTTCTCGTGGGTTTGAACCCACCCCCACTGAAAAATGTTAATTTTCCGTCTATTTTCCGATTTTAAAACGACCTTGAGAGGTAAACATTGACCAGACTGTTTTTCTTTGTCATTCAAGTATTACCCTATAGTTACAGCAGTCCATTCATGCTAACTGGGAGTATATTGGACTTAAGTGTCTTGCTGGGGAATTATTATTGTCAAGTCAGGTCTGCCTAAATGTCCGTTTTTACGGATTTTTGACAAAACGGTGACCTAGATTTTACGGACTAGATTCCTATTGGCCATATTATACCTCGTTGTGTTCCTGTACCACCTATGCATGCATTTATGATAATAGTTTATACCTACAGTCACTACCAGTTACGTAGTGGCCATCAAAAGATGCCCACCCCCACCTGATTTTGGCTACTTTTCACGTTTTTCCGATTTTGAACTCTCAAACGGCTTTCAAAGTGCCATATTTTCATGAACAGACATCTGAGAAGAGTTTATGGACCATGAACTGCTTGGTTGAAGTCCCTGCTATCATGACAGTTCAGCTGGGGCAGTTCAAAAATGGTATGGAGGGTCATACGGGCCATCAAAGAATGGTTGTCGCCATCACGCCTACAGGCGGGATTGGGGGCTAAAGGGTTATAGAGACAATTTTATACCACCGCTTGCACACATTGCTTGTGGATGGTAATTGTGTGCTTTACATATAGTTCTTAAATACATGCAATTTCACAATCTGAATTTTTCTAGAAGCAGCATGCCTCATCATATGTGGTAAGTCAGACCATTACAGTCACTTCACTGTGTAAAATAAATTGTGATAATCACTTCACTGTAAAATTAATTGTGATAATTACTTCACTTTGTAAAATTAATCGTGATAATCACTTCACTGTGTAAAGTCAAAATGTTGACAGTCACTTAACAATATTGGTGTAGTCTCTTTATCATGCAAAGTTATTGTATTGTCTGGAGTCAAATCTTTACAGTCAATTTTCTGTATGAAGTCTAGTATTGACAGTCACCTAACAATCTAAATTCAAATCTTGACAGTCATTTTACCATATATAAGATCAATTGTTTAAAGTCATTTTATCATATAAAGTGAAATCTTTACAGTCATTTTACTATCTAAATTCAAATTTTACCTCTTACCTCATCATAGTCATTCATTATCTCAAATCAAATATTGACAGTCATTTTACCATATGAAGTCACATTTAGACAGTCACTTTAAGAAGTCATTTCAATATCTGAAATTTTATGTAACTTAACAGTTATTTCATCATCTAACTTTAGTTGTTTCACCATGTCAAAAACATGACAGACACCCAACAATACGATCTTGACTGTCACTTTATGAAAAGTTAACTTGTATGTAAGTTCATTATGAAAATTCAGGTCTTGATCGTTACTTTTTGTACTTCAACAGATGCTTTACAATATAAAGTTGTTTTGACAGTCACCTAGCCATATAAAGTCATGTGTAAATCATTTCACCTTTGAAAATCTGGTTTAGACAGTAACTTGTTCATTTTAAGGTATGAATAGTCACTGCACCATGTAAAAGAAATTTTACCAGAATTTATGGGATTTCTGGGTTTTGATCATTTTTGTCTCTATACATCTTCTGTAGTTTCACCAATGTGTCAGTCACTTTATGTAGTGTAAACCATCACATCACATGTAAAATCAGTTCAGTAGTCACTTTTTGTATTTTATTTGAAACAACTTTCGGTCATTTCATTTTATTCATAACTTTTGTGTGTTTAGAATAGAATAAACAAGTAAAAACAGGGAAAAGAAAGTTAGATTTATACCATATTGTAGGACTAAAAACTTGATCTGAAAATTAATATTGGGTCAATGTTCTAGATTTTTATCATGCTTTTCTTTTTACAAAAAAACAACATTTTTTTCTAATAAACATTCATGAAAGCCACAGAAACTTCAGTATTGGTTTTCATCAATAACTATGGGTTGCCTGAATAATCTGTTCTCCTTGACAAAGTTATATTGAATAAATAACAAAATCGTCGAATTTAAATTATAAATCGTTTTTCATCTTATTCTTTCAAAATAGAAATTTTATGCTTGCTCTAAAAATTTCTGATTGTGGGGTGAAGAACGAGCTTTTGTATAAAATATCTACGGTGAAATAGTCATATAATAAGATAAATAAACTATATGTAAACATTAAAGGGTTATATGAATATTTTCACTGATATTGCTTGTTCGCTTTATTAAGTGTTTGGACAAAATAGATTTATTGATGACAGGCCAAACAAATGTACCAAATATTGAAAAAAATCTGCCTCGTAACGATTGTTATTAGGACAGGTCCGGAACTTTATTTTATATAAGGGGTGGGACGTGTAGTTAAAAATGAATTTTTCTTGTTGCTTTGATCTTGAGTTGTATTTTAAAAATGATAAATAAATCTTTATATAAACACTTCATATCGATCATATACCAATATGTATTTTGCAGATAAAAATTCCAATTTTGTTTTCTTTCAGTGTTTTAAATAGGTGCAGGAGTATTAAATATCATGTTTTAAAAAAAAGCCTCTGTGTCGTCTTATTGTATTCTAAGTTTGCACACAAGTCAATTCATAGCTTCACCCTGTTTTCACTTTATGCTTAACATGCAAAGCTCTTATTATTGTCATTTATTGTCAGAGTCGTAAATTTACGTAATGTACGTAATAGTAAAATATTGGACCATAGTTAGATAAATACTTAATCCTATAAAGAATGATTTAACTGAACTGAATTTATGACAGTTATGAATAAGTTCATATACTACGCAAGTAAGAATAAAAACTGGTAATTTACGGAACAAACAGTTTTGACTACAAAGTATTTGTAAAAGGTGTAACAAGTGATGTTGCTGAATTTTATTTACATCATACTTTTTATCATACCATTCATATATTGTCACACAAGCTTCATTTAAAAAATTCAATCAGCATGTAGGTTTAATTACAAAGCATAATTCATGTAAAATTTGCCACTGCACATTTAGCAGCTATCAGTCAATCAAAAGCTTGCAAAAACCTTTATCATACAGCTGCAAATATTTAATGTATTTTATAAACTATGTATTCATTTTTAGTTGCCATGTCTTGTTTTGTTGCTACTATATATGATTTACTGCATTACTGACATACTGACATTTTATTTTACAAACAAACATATTTGCAACTCCCCTTGGGTTCCATTTGAAGTCATTTTAGTGATGAAATCAAAATTGACCATACAACCTTTGGGTTAGTTCTGTATTTTCAGTTTTTAAATAATTTGATATATTTTCAGGTATTTCAAGACCTTGGTACTGAGGTACTACAGGCAGCATTTGAGGGGTATAATGCCTGTGTGTTGGCCTATGGTCAGACCAGCACAGGGAAAACCTATACCATGACTGGTATTAGGGTAAGCTACTTAGTTTGCATCTTGACCTATGGTTAGACCAGCTCTGGGAACACATAAACCATGAGTGGTTTAAGGGAAATAATAGGCTATTGGGTATAAGTGCCTTTGTGTTAGCCTGTGGTCAGATCAGTTTATTGAAAAGGTTAACATGACAGTTATAGGTATATTGCTGTGTGTTGGCTGCTGGAAAGACCGGTGCCATAACTATTTTTGTAAGAAAACCATATTTTAGTCCCTATTAGAGTACATTGTTCTTTTTAAAGGCATCTTGTACATGTATATTGTATTATACAGTTGGTCTGTACACTTTAGTTTTACTTTGTTTGAACCCCAATTTGTCTCATGACTCATTGCACTTGTTAAGAAGAAATGAAGATATTTGTAAATGCCAAAAAGTCAGAAAATATCAAAATTATATTCTAGAGATAACCATTATCAAACAATTAAATGGAGACAGCGGAAGCTCTGAAAAACTATTGCAACACAATTATAAGGACACAGTTCATGATTTGGAGAGGTACAAAAATGTGATAGAACTGTATACACCTAATATATATATTCAGTATTCAAAATCAGGTGCATGCAAAGTTCATAAAATTCAAATTAATGTTTTATTGTATTCATGAAATTACTTGTCATATATACTAATGTATCTTATATTTTTTACAGGAAGACCCAGGTCTAATTCCAAGAATTTGTGAAGTAAGTATCAAAAAATTGTTATATGGATTTACAGCCTTGAACCTTTTAATCAAATGCCAGAGTTTTTTCAAAACTTTCGTAGTATAATATCAGATATTGTCAAACTCATTCAACATAACGGTTTAACAGCTTGACCTGATATCTCAGCTTCATCCCATCCACTCCTTTCACGAAACCGTGTTGAGAATTTCTTATAAGCTAGGTTGATCGCTCTATCTTAAGCACAAAAAAGGTGACTAATTGGGAAGTTTGTTCACTTACCATGATATCAACCTTTATCATATAATCTATAAAGAAATATAATTTTTGAAGCCAGATATATATCGTCAAAGGTTCGTCTTTTTAAAATTCGGAATTCAAAATTATCAATTGTTTACTTATTCAAATAGACTTTTTGAAAAATGTATTTAAAAATAGATATAAATAATTCCAGTTCAAATACAGTGTTAAAGTAAACAATGTAGTGAACAATTTGTTTGTTTTATGGGTTTGTATTATTTGTAGGTTGTTAACCAATACTGGCTTAGGTCAGTTTTAGGTAAAGGTTAACAGCGGTTGTTATAGTCTTCATAAGAATTTACAAAATAATTCCCTGACAAAAAAGAAAAAAAGAAGTTTTAAAAAGACATTTGTTGTAGGGAAAGAAAGAGTTAAGGGTATTTATTGCCTTTCCAACAAAAATTTTAAGATTTAATGCTGGTTTTTGAGAGAAAAAAAAATTTCTGTGCTAATTTTAAATTTTAAAGTTTAATGCAAGTATATTTTATGGCCTGCCAGTAAAGGGTATTAAATGTTATCGTTGTCCATTTGATTTCAGTTCTGGTTAATTTCTGTGGTCCTCAATGTTCAACAATGATGTTTTACCAGTACAGTCCTAGACCCCTAATATAGTACAATTAGTTCTCTAAAGTTTGACTTTGAACGATTTTCAAAGCAGTTTTGAGTCTGTGTGCTATATACTACATTTTGTAGTTTTATAAAGTGGCAAGTAGAAAACAAGATTTTTTATTTTCCCTTCAGCAAATTGCTTTAATTAAGGTATATGCTGAAATACTGGAATAAACATTCTTAAACTGATAAACCATGAAAATACATACGTGCATGTAGACATGAAAATAAAATGAATTCCCTAATGCATGTAGCAGAATTTGGATCATTATGAAAAATAAACTTGCCAACTAAAAAGGCATAACATTCATACTTTATTTCCCATAAAATTGTTCATTCATTGACATCTATATCTTGGTCTCGAAATTTTTAGTTTATTACAGTTTAACAGTATAATAAGCACGTTTTGTGACTTTCATGTTAGCTTTATATAGTTTTGAGATTATTAACTATGTATAATTTCTTAATAGTATCCTGGATTTGAAGACTTCATGCCAAATATTATTTGAATCCAAACATTAATCTTATAATAGCAGTTACACAATCTTTTAAATTTTAATACTCAAAATTGTTTCCCTTTGAGTAATTTGTTTATTTACATAGTTATTCAGTCTTCAAGGCAAAAAAGAGTTTGGTTTCACTTTTCACGTGCAGTCCCTGCCAAACAAATTATTTTAGATGTCATTTAAAATTGTATTCACCAGTTTCCCATAGTTTTTTGTAAATTAATTTTTCAAATATTCACCAGATTTACAAAACTTGATTTCTTTGATGTCAAAAAGCATGTCAAAACCTATATTGATGTATAGTTTGTCTTCAAAAATGAATGGGGTGGAACTTCATTTGTTGTTCAATAAAAATACCTTTTGGCGGTTACAGGATTATTTAGATAAAATAAGTAGATAAAATAAGTGATGGAAATACAGCTTGGTTCAGAAACATCTTTTTTTGCCATCATTGGTCAAGAACTTTTTTTTAGTTTCTTGAAGGTACTGAAAACTAGATCAGGAAATGAAATGTTTATTTTAATTTTAGCTCTTCTGTAATGATAAATACTTGTTCTGAATTTGGTTCACCTCTCAATTTACACGGACTAATTTGGAAATTAACGCACTGAAAATTTGGAATAACTTGGCAATTAGGTTATTAAAATAATTAAACTTCGTGTGTTAGTATTAAAATGTAATTTATATAATGTTTTTACATAGCTACACGTTGTTAAATAGTGTATTATTGACGTAATTTCTGTTTGAATGTTGTGCTAGAGTATGATAGGGCGTCCTACTGCAGATAAAGCTCAATGAGTTAAATTTTATCAGCTTATTTGGCAGTGTTAATACCGTCAATAGACTTAAAAATAAATTTAATTAGCTTGTTGAAAATGTTTGTCTTTCAATAGGTGTAGAGATTTCTATTAATCAGCATAAAACACCTATCAGTTTCAAGTTTCTTTACCATTGTTGTCAATTCAATAATTGTAGATTAGCTTTGAACATAATGTCATTTTATCAATTGGAAATCGGCATTTAATGTTTACTTATGTTATTTCTGCACGATTGCCTTATCACTATACCCTAGCATTGAAAACCATAATTATTTGCCACAAATAGTTATCACCTAAAGACGTTGTGAATTTGATACATTTGAAAAGGAAAAACTTGTCAAGAAAGTAAATTTAAAGTGCAATTCTCTGTTTTATCGACTCAATCCCAAGTACTAAATTATGAAAATTTATAGACTCTACAAGCCTTTCCCTTTTAAAAGAATATTTATCATACTTTAAACAAATTGTTTACCTTTTAAAGCATATAATGCATTACTGATAAGTTAGCTTGAATATGTGTGGATTTTTGCTGTGTAATTGCCATTTTTTTTCTCTTGTCATTTTGAATTAAGAGTTAAGGAGATGTACAGTCATCACTGAGCCAGAAACCAAAGGACATCTAAGAGGCTAACCTATGGTCTGTAAAAATATGCAGGAGATGTTTATTCAATATGCTAAGCTCTCAATATTAAGTTGTGATTAACTATCTTATTTGAATAGGATTGCCAGTTTTCCAGGCATAGACTCATCTGGTACTTTGCTTCCTCCACCACCAAATATGGTATCCCAATGATATAGTAAAGAGCACTGAGAGTGGTGTTAGACACCAACAATCAATTTATCAATCAAAAGATCAGCATCAAACACTAAATTCCTCTTTTATGTGTTATAACCAAGTTCCAGAAAGCTGTTCATATGTCTAGCAAACTTGTGACCAGTGAATGACAATTGTGGCACAATAATGTTAACTTATAATCACAATGTATATAATAAGTGTATTTTCTGCATTTCAGGGTTTATTTAGCCGTGTAGATGACTTTGAAGCATCAGATCGTACCACCTTTCGTATAAACATTAGGTATGTAGATAATGATGAAAGAATGTTACATTTTACTTGCAAAATTAAACCAAAAATGCCAAAAAAGAGCAAAATATATAAAAAAAAATTGGGAATGCATATTTCAAGGTAAAAAGAAGCACAAACCAACTAGAATTTACTTTTGCAGTATGGTAATTGTCAGAAACTAAAATATACTATAGATATATTTAGGAAAAAAAACAAGGAAAATTTTCGTTACAGTTTATCTCAACATGCTAGGACCAAAATGTTGCATAATTGTTAATATTTTCTGAATTTCCAAGAAAAAGTATTAAGCATGGTTCTTCTGACAAAGTACTGTGTTGATTTCTTTAATATATGAAATTCTACTCCTTCAAAGATCAACTCAAAGATGACCTCCTTTATCAATACTGTAAAATCTGTTTGTAAAAAGCAGAATATTAAAATATGCATTTTGAATCAAGATCCATTATTCAGAAGGTTTACCTCTGTCCATCTGTCAGTCCATGTGTCCTTCTGTCCATCTGTCACATGAAAATTTTCGTAGCATTTTTCTCAAAATACAAATCAGTGCTTCATTAAACTTGCTATCAAGCTTCATATGAGCATACCTTAAAGTGTGATGTGTCTACACATCCAGCGCTCATCAACTTCCTGTTTACTGAATAGCCGGAGTATTATGAATGAGCATTACTGGTAGCTCACAGTTCATTTGGTTATGACAAGTCCTTAAAAAAATGAATCAAAGGAATTTAAAGAAAGTGTTTTGTCAGTTTTATACTTGTATAATAAGATTTCTTGAATCAAATTTTCACATTCAAACTTACCTATACAGTTCCCACTATGATAAAGTCTCAAGCAGTTAAAGTTATCATGAGCAATAGAGACAATTGTGACTACAGCTTGATGTTAAATGTCAAACCAATTATAAGAAATTTGTAAGGAATCTTTTTTTTTTATTTGGTCATCTGTAAATGCTTTGTCTCATATAACTTTTATTTTTCAGCTATTTGGAAATTTATAATGAAAGAGTCCGAGATTTGTTACGACCCTCACTATCACAACGCAATGAAAAATATACCCTCAAAGTTAGAGAACATCCAAAAGAAGGTCCATATGTACAAGGTATGAGGACTATCGGAGGTTTTCTGAATTATGTGTATTGAAAAATATTTCTTTATATATGCTATTTGAAAATAAGTTAACCAGAGATTTTGGGTATTCATCAGTGGAAAAGCAATCCAACAACACATCGAAATTTTGTATAGACATTATAAGATGATTGTAAAAGGGAAATACTGTAAAATGCACTGTATTTAAAGTAGAGTATACAAATATTACAACCAATATGTCCTTCTAAAATTCTATCAGTCTACAGGTCATCTTTTAATATATCTAGTATACAAAATTTGTCAATTGGACAATATTTCCAAGGACTAGAGAACTCCTGAAAATCTGTAAAGAGTACTCCAGAATATATCAATTTCAAGTTCTCAAATTCTGGGAATTTACTGTGATTGACCTTAGTTTTTTATAGATTGACATAGTCACTTTGATTTGATGCAGGGTAAAGAATATATTTGTTTTCACAATCAGTATGCTTAAACTCTTAGCATCCTGCGAAAATATTTTCTCGATCTACAAGTCACATTTCAACTATGATATAACTATTACACAAAATTTGTGGATCGTTAGATACAGTATTTCCGAGAAATCCAAAAAACTCTTGAACATTTGTATAGATTATTTCTGAATACACCACTATTTAGTCTGGGAATTTACTGTGACACACCTCAATTTTGTTCCCAATGACCTCGTAACTTCACGTCTGTGACATCAAATGTTTTCTATTGTTGAGGTTCAAAATTATGTGATAATTTATTTCCTTCTTGGCAGACAAATTTAATTATTGTATTCAATTTCACAGCTAATTACATTTTTAGTATTTCTTCAACCTATGTAATGACTTAACATTCTTGGTGATATTTTCAAAAAGTCTTCTTTTATTGATGTAGACAGAAATATAGAATCATAGTAACTTATGAACCAATATTTGCTTTTCCTCCTGCTTCTTAAGAATGTACTTATACATTGTTTTAATAGTATATCTGTATGTAAATTTGATTTCTTTAGAAAACCAAGATATCAAGTGCTTTTGAGGGAAAATTTATATAGAATATTTTTTTTGTAATTTCAGATTTATCTTCACATGTTGTTAAAGACAATGAACAAATACAGACATTATTAGATAAGGGAAACGAAAGCAGGTTAGTACTTTGAATTTTTTTTTTAAAAAGACATATTTATACATATGCTTTTTCGTTAGCCCTCAATTTTACGTCATTTATAAGATTGATTGGCACTAAATTTCCAGTTGCAAATGTTGTATACATATGAGCAATAACATGTTAATATCAGAAGTTTAATATTCTTTTAAGTATAATTGTCATTGCCATCGAGGGAATTCCAGTCCTTAGTTCTGTACAAAAACTTGATTTTATTCTGGTCTTTCTGCTTGAGATATTAAGATTACAAATGTAGTCTAATGTGATGTTGCATTTGACTGGATATTTACTCATATTGGACATCATTATATGACATATTTTTTTTGTGTAGGCTATCTTATATGGAAGTGGCCTCATTTACTGAACCATGCAGTGTCATGTAAAAAATATTAATATTTGAATTGTTCTTAAATTGTACTGAATGCCAAAACTGTGACGATATAACATCAGTAAATAAAAAGTTCAAAAAGGTGTACTAAAACTATTATAATAATTTATAGAAATGACTACACCATTTAAATATTCATAAATTTTTTAAAACCTTTAATTAAACTTAATTGATAAAGGGTTCAACTGAAATTGCTTAAATTGATTCGAAATATTTTTGAAGTATTTAAATAGGAACAATAGAATGTTGTGTGACCTTTGGTGGGATGTTCAAACAAGACTTGACCGTGTAGAAATATTTATATAGATAATACTGCCAATACAATTCAATAATGAAAGTAGATTTGAGTTGAATGTTAGTTTAATATCTGTTATGTTTTAAAATATAATATTGAGATGTTTAACGTTAGAAAGTACATTAAGTTTGTTGTATAAAGATTTATCGTTACAAACTCTTCTTGGTCTACATATTTATTTACTTTCTGTAAACATGTCGTTGAATGGAATATTATTAAATATAGTTTATATCACCATTTGTACAAATGTTTTATCTAAGGTTATTTCATGCCAAATATCTTTTGCATTTTTGAACAGAAACTGAAATTTATTCGGTCATTTCTATTTAACAAATGCGGCTTCACAATAAATTCTTCGAAAATTAAGTATGAATATGAAAATGAGGACATGTGGTATCATTGTTTACCTTAGCTGAAAAATTAAATGTTGAAGAAAGGTTAGCAAAAAACTGGTCAATACTAGTAGTGACCAGGGTGGTGTTAAATATCAGGATATATTGGCAAATACTGGACAATTGACATTTTGATAGAACTTTACTATAAAAACCAGTCATTCCTACATTATACCGGGTCAATTACTAGGTAAATGGGCAGATAGTCACAGGACAAAAAATCACTAAATTGCTAGGAACAAAGGTCATAATTAATTAGTTAACAAATGGTTGAATATAGATGTAGGACTCGGTGGTGCGATGGGGACCCTGAAGTACGATGGTCACACTGAAGTGCGATGGTCTACGCCGAAGTGCAATAGTCCTTTTGCTGAAGTGTGATGGTCCTTTTGCTGATGTTTGATGGTCTCTTAAGACGTGTGATGGCTATAGTTAAAATCTACAGATGTTTAATTAGGGCCCCGCCGAATGGCGGACACCCTATAGTGATCAGTCTGTCCGTCTGTCTGACCGTCCGTCCGTCCGTTTGTCTGTCTGTCCGTCCCTCCGTCCGTCCATCTGTAACAACACCCAAGTTGACAACCCCAAGTCCTATGGTAAAGATCGTGTCCGCTCTATATCTTGAGAACTGTTATGATTTCAAAGTTTATACTTGACATGTATATAAACCAACACCAGAGGGTGTGTCATAAATTATGTACAACTTCCTAGGTCAAAGGTCAAGGTCAAAAACTTTGGTTTTAGATGACGACCCAATGTCCTATGGTAAAGATCATGTCCGCTCTATATCTTGAGAACCGTTATGATTTCAAAGTTTATACTTGACATGTATATAAACCAACACCAGAGGGTGTGTCATAATTTATGTACAACTTCCTCGGTCAAAGGTCAAGGTCAAAAACTTTGGTTTCAGTTGACAACCCCATGTCCAATGATAAAGATACAAATTTTTTACCACACATTATTCACAGCGGGCCCACAGAGATGGCTCCCATCTCAATGATATCTAGTTATTCTAATTATAATGAGATTTTGTTCTTTTATTAGTTAGTATATACTAGTAAATACCAAACATTCAATGTTTTCTCCTGTTGCAGTAAAAAAATATCTTGTTCCTTATTCTCATTCATAGCAGCCGTATAGATTTTCCGTGTATTTTGTTCCGTTCCTGACTAATCAAGTAGTATTTGCATTTCAAATAACTACTACGTTTTTCAGTCATTGCAGTAAGTACTGGTTTTAAAGGAAAATAACCTTTTATGTAGTGTTTATAGTGGTCAATATCTAAAAGATTGTATGAACTATGATAAATAATTGCTTTTTTGTCTGAAGTGATTTACAAAGTACACTACAATGTTACAGTTAGGACTGGAAATGCAATGACTATTTATCATGCCTGTCTTAAATTAAACAGGTTATACTCTTGATGTTTTACCTTAAAAAAAACTGAAAAGCTGCTTCCAACAAACAAATTGACTTCTACATTGACATGTGAACATTGATTTATGTAAGCCATCACACCTTTTCTTGAATAAAATTCCTTATACTGGGGATAATTTATTTTTTGTGGATATCAATTTATATGGATTGAGAAAAAAAAATTGTAATTCGGCAAATTTTCCATGCAAGTATATTTTAATTTCCTTGGACAATTAAATTTGAGGTTTACCTATACCCATGAATTCCACAAAAATTGGTATCCCATGCGTATACCTAGTCCTCCTGTCTTGGGTTTCTCTTAAACAAAAACTGGACTTAAATTACACTAATGTTTGTTTCTGTTTATGAAAACAAACCTACAATGTACATGCATATGGGAAAATTGTTTTACTGTGAATTCATTTATTTTCGTGGGTACCAATTTTCGTGGAATGAGAAAAACTTGCATTTTCGTGGATATTAAATTTCGTGGTTTTGGCAAAGTCTGCATACATACCTTAAGTAAATTTGTAATTCGTTGAACATTTAAATTCATGGTTCCCTTGTTCCCACGAAATCCACGAAAATTGGTATCCAACGAATATTAATGAATCCACAGTATATCCTTTATTTTTTGAAAAGTTTTGATTATGATTTTTCTCTTGTCATATTTTAGATATCCATTATAGTATATATATATTAATGATATTTGACTTTTAGATTTTTATTTATAATAAAAATCACAGATATTATATAATTTGGATATTATATTTTCAGTTTGAATCTAGCTCTATCTGTTTATTATTTTTCATGAGATGAAATTTTGTTATTCCAGAACTACAGCATCCACGTACATGCATGATCACAGCAGTAGAAGTCATGCTATTGTTACAATTAATTTTATTCAGGTGAGAAATAGTCTTTTTCTTTATAAGATTAATAACATAAACAAATGCCCCAAGATAATCAGCCTTATATATTAGTGGTTTGTCCATTTTCTCCTCATATGACGATGATTTACAATTGTTAATATGTTTTTCTGATTCGCTAGATGCAAAATTTGGTGTCTTCATGCTGTGCTTTATTTTTGCGTACATGTATTTTTATTGAGATAGATTTGTTATACATGTACTCGGTTATCTTTCCCTTTATAAAATAAGGAGATGTCACATGACTGTCAATGAGACAGCTATCCACCAGAGTATAGGTCAGCGTAAAGCCCTTATCAATGAGCAAAACCTTCAGGGCATAGCAAGCATTAAAAGGTCACATGATAGTACATAAAATAATTGAAATGAGAAAACAAGTGGCCTGATTTATGTACAAAACAACAGATGAAAAACAAATATGAAATAAAGCAACAAACGACAACCACTGAATTACAGGCTCCTGACTTGGGACAGGATTACCAGTTAACTTATGATGAAGAATCTTTTCAATTTCAGGAAAATTGTGTTTTGAAGAAATGTTACAAACAACAGGTTGAATTTATTGCAGTCAGCTTATTTCTGTTTGTTCTTCAAAGCTTGTTTTTGATAAATAAAAAGTATGATAAAATGGTTTCAAGTTGTAAGTTTGTAATCCTATTAAACTGATTTTTTCAGAGTAATTACAGAAAAAATTAGAATTTGTGGTTAAAGAGTCAAATTCAAAATACATTTGAAATATAGACTGCCACATAGAAAGTAAAAGAGTTTTGATTTAGTTCTTAAATCATGACATCTTTTGGAAACATAAAATTTTAAGAAGATAATAATCCCTATAAAGGTCCATTTTGTCATTTAGAAATGTATTTTTTGAGAGAACTTTTAAATGGAATTTGTTTACTTCAGGATTGCCTTTGCTAAAGAATTTTTGTTGTATTTGAGCATTTGAAACCATTTAATCAATCCTTGATTTTTCTTTAAGAATTTAAGAAAAACATATTAATAGGAGTGAAGAAGCTTATTTAAAAAACATAATTGAAATAGTTTGAAGTATGCCTAATAATTAATTTTAATTATAAAATGCTTGACGTTACTAAAATCTTTATTCCGTCTGATTAAATTTGTTATGTCATCTTTTGACACTTCATATTTAAGGTCACAAGTAGGTCATTGTTAATAAAGGGTAAAATTAATCTAATATTGAATGAAAAATAAAAGATTATCAACATACTTACGAAATATAATAGTATTAATGTGTCTACAATGAAGTATTCACTTTGAAGGGATTTTCTACTAAAACTGAAATTAATCTGATATGATTCAGTAAGGAGAGAAAGATTACGGTTTGGCCGAAGGCAGTGTTGCTGGATGTATTTAACTTAATACACTACTACTTATTAAATTCTTTCGTTTTTATCTACCCCTGTAAATTAAATTGATAGATAGTTTAAATATTTGACGGGCTATAAAAACAAGATCTTGTTGAAATGAGCAGTGTTTGATTGACTTTGGTCTATTATATATCCCTCCTGTTTATGTCCTAATGATAACTGTAGGTCTGATAATCCTAATGTCTATTGTTAATTGTTTTGATATAAGATATGTTCTGTAGCTCAGAGGTGCAGATCATTGACAGTTCTCATGTTCAGTGTGTAAAGAATTTAAAAATGACCATGACTTTTATAGACCATAGAATCAAACTTAGAAATATTTGTTATAGAGATCAAATGATCTGGGTTTTTTTTGTCCACTGTTAAGTAATTATCTGTCAATCAGACCTGTTTTAGAACTCTTAATAGTTATGTATTTTGGTCTGGATTTTTTTTTCTGTCATTGGGTTGTTGTCCCATTGATGTGTACCCATTTTTTTACTTATTTTCACGCAATAGTATTAATGTTTCTACAATAAATGATCCAAGAAAAAGTCTGTGAAACACAGAAAAAGCTGTTGCCATATGCATTCTGTTAGTATACGAAGAAGCCAGCAATGCAACACTGAAAATAGAAAGAAAAGTGGTTTTATGGTTGTATCATTTTGATGGATCTAAATTGAATTGTCTATTTCTTATGACTATACATTATTTGCACTTAAAAATAACTATAAATAACACAGGTTAATTTAAAAAAAAATGTCCTTTTTTTTTCTACAGGCCAAGTTAGATGACGATCTACCTCATGAAATTGTGAGCAAGATACATTTAGTAGACTTGGCTGGAAGGTAACTATTAATGCACTAGTGCACCACTTTTTAGTTAAGGCATCAGATGTGGTCAGTTCCATAGCATTACACGTAGATCTGGTAATTTCTAGTAAGTAGCACAGAAATATAAAATCAACCAATGCCAACAATGTTGTGGTAGAGTTCATCTTTCTAGTGTAGTTGGTTGTGGATTCAGTCTCTGGTTGTTTTAAACGTCTTTAAAGACACTAATATTAGTCTCTGCTGCTTCTAGGCTGTGCACATGGCATTTAGGAGTAAGAGCATAAACAGGTTGGCATAAAATCTGCTAAATTCAAGTCATACTTGGTTCTAGCATCAATTATCGCTGTCTGTATATTCCTAGTATAATGCTAACTACATAAAAGAAACAGATGCTTGATACTTTATATGTCGGAAGGCAATTTAAAACTACCTATGTATAGTAAATATATTTAAATTTGTGGACAATAAAATGAAAGTTGTTCAGTGTATTGTAGTATGGGCATAGTATTTGTAAGCTTCAGATTGATTCTTGCATTAAACACATCTCATTGCCATGCAATTTTAATGTAGTATTTGATTTTCCTATATGTAGGACCAATTGATATGAATATTTATGCTAATTTTGATCGATTAAAGTGAGTTTGATTTTAAACCATATATTTATTGAATTTGAAAGATGATAATGCAAAAGTTTTGTGCTTGCTAATTTTTCTGAAGAAGAATGACTCTTCATTTTTGTGGGTTTTTTTTTACGATTCTATTCTGGACTGGTAACAATACACAAATATAAAAGGTTCCTTAAATTTTGTTATGCATATTGGAAAGAATTCCAATTTGCTAAAATTTTCACCAAGCTAAATTCATCTATTTCAAATTAATCAGCTGATAAAATATTTTAGCTTATTACTAGTGAAAGGTATGAAGCAAGTGTACTGTAATAACAAATATTGAGGACTAGGATATTACAAGCTTAGTAACTTACTTTAGGGGCTTGTTTGTTATTTATAAGTTAATGGTAATGTATCATATTGAACTTGCTCAAACGCTAAGAAAGCAGTGGCAGATCCAGAAATCTTGTGTTTCTCAAGATTTATATGATTTTGTTTGCATATAATCGTCCAAATAACATTTTTGCCTTGCTTGGATTGCCAGTTTATATTCAGTTTTCTGGAATTAGGCTCCCCTTTAAAAAAATCCTTGATTGTTTGGCCTGGAAATGTTTCCAGCAAGACCCCCTCCCAATAAATAATAAAATTATATAACAATCAAAGAAACAAATAACAAAACAAATCCATGTAATCAAACAGAAAACCCGACAATGAGGAACAACATATGTGAATCAATATTGTAATAGGATGGGTAAGGAGGCAATCATTTATTACAATTTCAGGTATTCTTGAGTGTATTGCCTTTGTCTAGTTGTGAGGGATGCATATTTTAAAAAGCAATACATCAAGTTCAAATAGTTGATGATAGTTCAGTCTTTTTAATGCAATCTCATAAACCAAGCATTCTTTTTAACAAATTCATTTCCACCTGAGCAATTTAAATTTTGCAGATGATTAGACCAATCACATTATCCCATGTGTTATATGCATTTGCGATGAGGATTTAACATAAGACAAGTATTATCATGGAATACCATGGGGGGATTAGTGGGATGTAGGGATGACTTTAGGTCAAATCCATAAAAAGCAACATTTGTTATCAAATAAAGTTCAAATAAAAATTTGTGAAGGTATATTGCAGAAGACTGATTTTGTTGGGAACTAATGACAAATGATATAACGAGCATATATAACGAGCATATATAAGGATCATTTTTCAATCAAATTATTTATCAGTTTAATATTCTTTGATTTTCAAAAAGTTTAAAGAATTGCTTTAAGGACACTTTGGTCAAACAGTGCAGTATATTGTAAAGGAGACTTTCCAGCTGACCTGTCTTTGCGGTCATAGATAATTGTACTCAAGACTCAGATATCAACCAATCAAATTACTGGATTTGGTGTTTCAAGCACAATTTTTTTACTCCGAGTACTGAGTAAAGTTTTATGACCAAGAGTCCAGTCCTAATGTTTAGAGTTCTTTAAGTAATCACTTGGCGTCTGTCGTCCGTCATTGTTGTCGTCGTTGTCCGTCGTTGTTAGCTTTTTACAGAAATCTTTTCCTCTGAAACCACTGGGCCAAATTTAACCAAACTTTGCCACAATCGTCATTAGGGTATCTTGTTTAAGAAATGTGTCCGATGACCCCGCCAACCAACCAAGATGGCCACCATGGCTAAAAATAGAACATAGGGGTAAAATGTAGATTTTGGTTTATATCTCTGAAACCAAAGCATTTAGAGTAAATCTGACATAGGGTAAAACTGATTATCAGGTCAAGATCTATCTGCCCTGAATTTCAGACAAATCTGACAACCTGTTGTTGGGTTGCTGCCCCTGAATTGGTAATTTTAAGGAAATTTTGCAGTTTTTGGTTATTATCTTGAATAATATTATAGATAGAGATAAACTGTAAACAGCAATAATGTTCAACAAAGTAAGATCTACAAATAAGTTGACATGACCAAAATTGTCAGTGGACCCCTATAGGAGTTATTGCCCTTTATAGTCAATTTTTAACAATTTTTCGTAAATTTTTGTAATATTTTACAAAAATCTTCTTCTCTGAAACTACTGAGACAAATTTAACCATACTTGGCCATAATCATTATTAGGGTATCTAGTTTAAAAAATTTGGTTAAAAATAGAACATAGGGGTAAAATGCAGTTTTTGGTTTATATCTCTGAAACTAAAGCATTTAGAGCAAATCTGACAGGTGGCAAAAATGTTCATCAGATTTAGATTTATCTACCCTGAAATTTTTAGACGAATCCGACAACCCGTTGTTGGGTTGCTGCCCCTGAGTTAGTAATTTTACAGAAATTTTGCAGTTTTTTGTTATTATCTTAGATATCATTATAATATCTAATATCTAATACTATTAATTATGATTTTAACCTTATTTTAAATGATTTCCAAAGCATCAGTAAATACAGGTGAGCGACACAGGCTCTTGAGAGACTCTAGTTCATATTATTCCTTTGATATGATTTTTATTTCCTGGTATCTAAGGAGGTTATTGTCTCGTGCACAACAACCCATATCGTTTCCTTTTCTATGTTTGGATTGTCATACAAATAGAAAAACCCTCTTACATACTTTTGTAGACTAAATACCATCTTAAACGATCAGATTATTTGATAGTTGAATCAGTTTATATTTTAACTTGCTTTTGATAAGTACCCAAATCAAATTGACTTGTTTTGATAACATTTCAAATACTTCTATAGCCTGTTTTTGGTATTATATCACTACTATTACAACATTGTAATGAATGTCTCTTTAATAGCCCTCATAATCAAAAATAGCATTTAACAGTCTAATTCATTCTTTCAATAATACGAAAATAGATATATGTGATTTATATGAAACTAAATGAGAATATGAAACATAATATAATTTTCCTGACTTTTTCACTGAATACACAGATTATTAAAAATCTTCGGTGATTTATACTGTTCCCAAATTTTTATTTTTTTTTTAATTGTTGTAAACCAATTTGGTTGTTTTTTTTCATCTCTGCATCAATTGAAATTCAGATATGATCTCAGATTTTCTGTAAAATTTGTGACAGCATATAGAAATGTAGCCTTGCCTCATTATGCGATTGAGAAATATTTATGTCCACCAGCAGAAAAGAACGTCAAAATTACCTGAATGCTTTACAGAATACACTTTTTATGCAGATCAACAGGAAAAAGCATCAATTTTGCTTACATGTTGTATCCATTTGATTAGAATTGTGTATTGCTGTCATACCATCTTGTTAGTTCCTTGTTACCATGTTCAAAATAAGTGGATTTCCATACCTTGTTATGTTATTCAAAAGACTGGAAGTAGCTGTTTCGTTGTAAAAATACAACATTTAGAGCTTAACATATTGTATAGGTCCTGTTTGTAGAAGATAGATTGTTGACCTCTGTATGTGTTTCTGTTTTTGTGCATTGCTGGTTTGCTGGCTCATTGACAAATATCCTGTATCTCCTTTTAAATTGTAGCATTTATAAGTAGATGCAAGTTATATGGTTATTATGTATTTGAATGTTACCTCAGTGAGGTTTCACAAATTTCTCTTAACATCCTTTTCTAGAAAGAACCTTGTGTCAATGAAAGACATGATAATTGTAACGAGCTTCATCCTGAAAATGGTTTAGATATTACATGTAAGATGTGAAATGTTCACCCTTTCTGTGCTTAATCAATTTAACATAAGGGTTGTGTAGAAATCCCTATTGCTATGAGAATGCAAAAATTGAACCATTGATGAGTTAAGAACAAAAATATGAGTCACAGTGTATGACTTAACAAAATCAAAACTTCTTCAACTAATCTTCCAAAATGCTTAAACAACATGTGCAATGTCTGTTTATAAAGATTTATAACATTTTAAACTAAACCATGCTGGACCAAGTCTTACTCATTTTAATTGTTTCATGATACAGTATTTTATAGACTATCTGCAGTGTCACAGTGTCATATAACACTGTGACACTCTCGGCTGTAAAAATGTAAATTTTGAAATAAATCTTGAAATTTATAGTCTACATAGTAAATAGTTTAGGAACTATAAACATTGTTGGTATATACTATATAGCTGTACAATATTTGATAAAACAAATGTAATAGTTCTCAATACTTTTTAAAAATGTGCTAAGTAGCATTAAAGTTGCATGTCATTTTAACAGTATAATCATGTTGCGTCTCTTAATGTCTTTTCGTCCATTATGTTTTATTTTTATAACAGCTATAAAATACTAGTTCATTGTGAAATTGAGAAATTAAGTCTGAAAGATCTCTCTGCCCTGATGTTACCAAGCGGAAGTTCAGTTCACCCTTCTGTCAGTACATGAAATATGGTTTAAATGCCCTGTAAAATCTAAAGTAGTCATGTCCTTCCCATCTCAAACGATAGGTTCAGTGCAGAAAGTTACAGAGAGCTATGGGGTCAATAAAAAGAAAAATTCTATTGGCTCTTGTACATATATGTACTTTATATTTTGAGAACAATTGTTTTTCATCAACCCTTTTAAAAAGGGGTGTTAACAGATGTATATATGTCAACAATGTATAGTTGCTTACTGTATTTCATTTTGCAAGCTCTTACTAAACCTGGTGCAAGTTTTAAATTAATTCAAAAGAAAGGCATATACTTAAATTAAATTAGATATAAACTGTAAAGAAACGGCAATGATAGCTACTAAGATTCAGGACTTTGGACAGGTACATATTCATATTAAGCATGTTGCAGGGTACCTCCTCTTATTTGCTTGCTCAATAAGAGAACAAATGAATGTTTAAAAACATCAGTCATTTTAAGTAATGTTTTCATCACACATTAAGAATGTTAAAAGTTGAACCCATATTAAAATGCACTTTTACCATTAAGTCAAATAATTCAAACTCGTGTTCATCTTAATGTTTTGACCGACCTCTGTTTGTATAACAATGTCATTGTCATAGTATTGTATCTTGTTACAATTATTCAAAAATTGATTGTATCGAAAAGAATTTTTGTATAAGGGGTTGTTGTTCAAAGGAAAACGATGCATGTTTTAAAAAGTGTTTGATCAAATGAGGTTGTTGATTTCAGATTGCATAACTTTCTGATGAATGTATATTTATATAAGTAAATATTTGTTCCTCTGTTCACTTTTAGCTGGGCAACATGGAATTTAAAATATTGCTTGATATTACCTTGCATTCAAATGACAAATAAATACTTCAAACGTTTTTGTATCTAACTTACATAAATTGTTTATTCATTTAATTTATTGATGAAAAAGTGTTAATTTCTCTTTACTTACAAATAAAGAGGAACTCACACAAAATAGTGACTTTAATCTTTATTTGTGTATAAATCTTTTCTTTCTTTTATGTAGTTTAATTTAACTTTTGACTTCTTTATATAAGACAGTTTTCATTTTATTTATTTTTGTTTGTTAAAAGCTGTTTAGAATTGCTTTTGGAATGTTGTTATTTCTATTAAATTGCTTCATATCCCAGTATGTTAGCCATATTATGAGTTTATAGTGTTCACTATTTTGTCATGTTTTTATTCTGTTCTGAATAATGACAGTTTCCCCTTACTACTATATTTTGTGCCCTGTTTCATCTTGCTAGGAAAAGCATTAAACTTGCATGGAAAAATATTAATGAAAGATATCAAACTAAAGGAGCTTGATGTCTGAGGGGCCAGCTGAAGCCAGCCTCTGAGTTGGAGATTTTCTCGCTGCGTTGAAGACACATTGGTGGCCTTAGTCTGTTTTCTGCTCTTTGGTTGGGTTGTGGTCTCTTTGACACACTCCCCAAGTCCATTCTCTATTCTGTTGGATTTTTTTTTATAGAAAAATGCTAAAGCAAATGTTAATTCAAATTCCAAATGTATGAAATTTATCCTTTTGTTAAATAAATTTACATGTTTACATTGATATGCTGAAATATTGAATGTTTATAACATATTGTAATTGATTTGGTTATTCTATTCTATTTTCAGTGAGAGAGCGGATCCAAACTGGAGCTTAAATTACAAAGGCAGACTTAAAGAAGGGTCAAACATTAACAAATCTCTTGTCACGTTGGGAAATGTTATTAAAACCCTAGGTATGTTAAATCTTAATGTTAACATGTTTTGCATGTCTTTGGAAAATGTTATTAATATTTCATCAAATCTTTATGATGGTGCACCAAACTTACACAATTTTATGGTAACTTAAGATATTGTATTTATGCAAAACATCTTAAAAGAAATCTTACGAAATGTATTCAAACAAATTGATTCAGGTTACTTAAGGTCCAAAATGTTGTCCAATTTGGTATGCCTAATATTTACTTAAGATCAATCTAGGAAAGGTTGACAAATTTCTAGCATATCAAATATATGCAGTGTCAGAAATCTACAAGGACACTCAACAAGATCAAAGAGTTGAAATTTGGATGAAATATTGTTCTTTTCATCATTATTTTCACCAATTTAAAGGTTAACTATTTGAAAGTATTATATACCTCAAAACCAGGTCATTTTACTAGAATTAAAAAACACTCATAAAGTAAACATATTTCCAAGAAAGAAAACTTATAAAACCATACTATGTCCGTAACTTTTAGAGAGACTTGAGGAAAAAATGAAATCTAGGGAAGAAAAAACATAAGTCTTCTTTAATAATTCTTCTTCTATAAACTTCAGACCTTCAAAACAATCACATCTCTTTTTGTCTTAAGAAATAACTTTTTATACTTTGCAGCTGAGAAATCAATATTATCATGGAGTACCGACAGTCTAGGGTCCACTCAGAGTTTTGCCAGTAGTGGTGGTGGTGAAGGGAGAGCCAGCCCCTTCTGTAGTCCAAAACGTATGCGTCAACCATACATACCATACAGAGACTCTGTGTTGACATGGTTACTGAAAGACAGTCTTGGTGGAAACTCAAAAACAATCATGATTGCCAGTAAGTTATTTAGTAGATTCTATGCATGTAATTTTTTGTATGCCCATCTACAATAGAGGGGAGAATTGTTTTGCAGTACATGCTTTCATTTTCGTCAGGTTAAAGCTTTTGGTGAAAATAGAAGAGGAGTATTATGTTTTCTGGGCTGTGTGTCACTCTGTCTGTTTGTTCTTTTTTTATTCCTTCCTGTAGCATGTTAATGTTTTAAGTTAGTTTACCGCAAAGTTATGGTAACATCAACTTGAAACCTACACTTGTTCATTATGATGTGAACTTTTTTTATTTGGTTTGCTGAACAAGACTTATAGTGTGAGCAGGGCATGGTGTCCTATGGACAGACATTCTTCTCTCTGAATTTTCAATGTATCTGTGAACTTTCTTGAAATATGCTTTATAATACTTAATAATATAATGTACAAATGTATACTATCTATAAATAATCCATAAAGTCGCAAAAATTTGGTGTTGGTATAATACATCTATCCCATTTCTAGCCTCAATAGAAAGTTAATTGTAGACAAGGTCCCTTAATAATTAGGTTTGAACATGAACATGTGGTTAAATTTTGAGATCTTACTACTGTCTCACATGAATCTCCAGAACTCTAGAGGAATGTTCATGTGACTTTACTGTAGTATAGCCGACTATACTGTATGGGGTTTTCTCATTGTTGAAGGCCGTACGGTTGCCTATAATTGCTTACATCCACTTTGTTTGAACTTTGGTGGATAGTTGTCTCATTGGCAATCATACTTCATCTCCTTGTTTTTATATTAGTACTGTATAAGATTTTGTGTTAAACAGTAAATTCTGGTACCTTAAAATATGTAGGATACAGGGGCTATAGAATTGGAAGTTGAACCTGAGAATGTTTATGTCAAAAGTTGAAAGAAAACATTAATTGAGTTCATTCAATCAATTTTACATTACAACTTTATTTATATTCTTATTTTCTTTCTTATATTTTCTCCCTAAATTGTTTGACATTTTTAGTTAAAGTGTGTTATTGTTATAAATATCCAATTAAAACTAGATTATGAGTTTATAAAGAAGGGGTAGGTCTTGTTCAACAGTTATATATTATGTCCCTAAATAAAATATAATTGAGCATTTCGATTTATTTATCTTTTCGGTGTGGTCTTATATACCACATGCAGTGAACTTTTTAGAATTAAATGAATGCAACAATTGTACGCAATATTCATTGTTCATCATTGCATTACTATTTAGCACTTTTAAATGACTTTTATGTCATATTTTATTGATTTGAAGAGTTTTATGTCTATTTGACTGTTATTTGTTTATTGTACTTTTTAAGCTATCTCCCTTGCCAGTAATCATTATTTGATAATTATTTATTTATTTCTTTTTTCAGCTATCTCCCCAGCCAGTATTTGCTACAACGAAACCATCAGTACCCTCAGATATGCACAGAGAGCTAAAAACATTGTGAATAAACCAAAGATTAATGAGGTATAATGCTGAAAAGACTAAACAGTATCATAGATTTTGATTGGGTGATAGATTGTGCATTTGTCTTGGATTTTTTTACATTTGTTGAATTTCATTTCATATTGAACAGATACCCTGTATTTGCACAAGGATATCTCTTTTATTACCATTCTTGGTGTTTGCCAAATTTACCCTTCACAGCGACCCATAATTATTGTACACTTTATTAAACTCTGCTTTTAATTGCTAACATCACAATAGCCATGTATGCCAGGTGACAGAATATTGAAATCGAATTTCCAATGTTTACCTGTAACTTATTCATCTCTATTGGTATTCAATGTAATTGAACAGATATATCATGTTTAGGAGGGATATATGTGAAAAATACCAGTCATGAGAAGAAATTTACTTTCCATTGGGCTGAGGAAATCTCACCTCTGTCCTCTGATTATTTTCTCAAATATCTGTCCTGAACTTGATATATCTGCTCACTATTTTCTTAGTATTAGCTCTTCTTCCTTATATGTTACAGATGTAATTATAAGGTAAAAATATTTAATGTAAGCATCTAAAAATTTGCTGCAAAACATTATCTGAAAGAATTATTACTTTTCCTTAGGAAGTAAATTATAATAATTAAATATTTTGATATTAAGATTCAACATGAGAGAAAACAATCAATATAACTGGTAGTCAACCCCCCCTTAAAAGCTAAATAAACATTTAGTCAGTAATCAAAATGGTTGCCAATTGAATTGGATCTTATGAAAAATTGTTAAAAGTGTAAACCAAGTAGACACTGCATTTTGAGTAATAAATGGTTATCTGGTAATTATTGTTGTGACATGCATTCATTAAAGAATAACTGCAAATTTACAGTTGGTATGCAATTCTAAAAATTGACGACAGCCTTGTTCCTATCATAATCATCTTTTATTACTTATTATATACGCACAGACATTTAAATTGCTAATATAATCTCTAATTCTTTGAAAGAAAAAGTTGTTTATCGAATCTCATTTGTGATTAACAAAATATGTCTTTATGAAGTTGTTGAATGAAATTCAAATAGTGTATGATATAGATTTGTTCCATTGAAAGAAAATCAAATAATACTAGATAAATCTTTGTTCGGACAATTCAGGTCGTTAAATTACTATCCTATGTACCGGTACATGATATATACTTGTGATGCACTTTAATTTTTGACAAGATGTCATTTTGACAGTACAGAAGGTGTGGTATATAAATAGACTATTCATACTTATAATAAAATGCTTATTGCATAGATACCTTTTAATATTGTCAGAAAAGAGATAGGATCTAAATTAAGACATTTTACGCATTTTAATCCTTGCTTAAACATTTTCTCCTACAGGGAAGTTCAATATGAAATATTTTGATGGTTTTCTTTTCACACCTTTAATATAATGGAGTGGAATTTATATAAGTGATAATGATATTACTAAGATCAACATGCCAAGTTTGATTGAAGTAATATGAGTTTCTAACTTATATGTTGAGTGCAAACATTCCTGTGTGTTTTAATACTTAAAAATATATTTAAGATGACCTTCAAAACCTTGAATAATTTCTCCTTAGACGTATGCTTTTACCCTCCCACTAAAAATAATATTTGCTCTGATGAAGAGTTCTCATTAAGTTATCAGTTTAAAAGAAAATCCTGTTTTTTCTCAGGGTTAATTTAAGTGTATTGCAGTTATCTGTATTAAATTTATACCACATGCAAGGGGTCAGTTTATAATTATAACTTTTAAAAATTTATAGTTTTTTTCTACATTTTACTGATTAAAATGTATTTTAATACAGTTCTTTGAGTCTACATTATATATATATATTGATATGAAATTTGTATAAACCTACTCACAGAATGGGTGGTATACTGCATTAACCATGACCATCAATATGTCTGTCCAGTGTCTTTAACTTGTATTACATATTAATCAGCTTCTGAATTATAGAATGATTTGATATTTGGTCTTGAACTTTATGATGATGAGCACAGAATTTTCATCAATGTGTAACTCATCTAAAACGCTATTTTTATGTAGGCTTTTCTTTATACAGTAAACATGAATATACAAGATAATTGTTTTATTCATTTATTTTCTTTTTTTGTTACCATGCAAGCGTTCTTAATGTATTTTAAAAGGCAGTTAATGTTCATGCAGAATTGTATTTTAAAGATAATGTTTAGATAAATTCAATTAACCCGCTCTAAGAATTGAATTTCTGTTAAAGGCCCCTGCATGCAATCCTTGACAGTGTCTTATGATTATTATTAACTTAGTCTTACTGTATTGCAGGATGCTAGTGTGACATTAATAAGAGAACTGAGATCAGAGATTGACAGACTTAAACAGTTACTGTCAACTTCACAAATGGTAAGTTGTCTGCTCCTATGTTTGTAGATATTTTTCTACTCCATAATCCACAGTTTCAGATCTAAGGCACTTTAATAAATTTGATTTTCCATAAATACATGTATGTATATTTGGTAAGTATTTGATTGTCTTTGGATTCCTTTGAAAATGTAAAGCAAAATTCAATATTCAAAGTTTTGAAACTGGGAAATTAAAAGAAAGATAAACTTGAAATTGCTCATGTAAGAAGAGCTGGAATGAAATAGAAATTATAGAGCTTAACAAAATGTTTTGTTCGCTAATGTAAAAGGTGTCACCATATTTAGGATGGGTAGAGTGTCTTGTCTGCTTCATTGTCTACACTACATAGATCAGTGTTATAGATGCTATGATATAGTGTCTTGATTGCCTGTCTATACATATATATATATCTTGCAAGATAAAGATATCATTACAGTATTAGAAATAAAGATTGCAAATCATTTTCATATTTCCTTTGCAAAAAATATGTTATGGATGACTTCTTTTGCCACATCTGCTATGGTATGCCTTGGTATGCACAAATTCACCAATTTTTTCACAGTTTTATTTAATGACTACAAAACATGATATATGTGTGACAATAATAAATGCTTTGAATTATTCAACCCAGATATTGACCACAGTTCTTTACTTGATAAACAGCAATTTTAATGCAATTCGTTTTGAACTATAATTTTCATTGGAAGTTGACAAATATTTTGAAGGGTTAGATTCCACATTCTACCAGTCTGTAACTAAGGAGAGCCACCATTTTGAAAGCCTAATTTTTTCAGTATGTAATTTCACAAAAAATAAACAAAAAAATCTCAAAATCTACTTTTTGTCAATATTTAAACCATTCATAAGCGTACAAAATAGTATAAATATGTGTAGAGTTTATACTAGGCATTGGGAGTATACCTTTGACATCACATTGTTTAGATGCCAAAGACTATGTAACAGTTTCACAGACTTTTGCATTTATTGCATTTTAAGCCAAAATATTTACTAAAATGGAATTATATTTTAATATGAGGCATAAGAATGAAGATAACTGTATTGTTTTTTAAGCTTGGCCTTTGTAAAAACTTTATTTTACTGTCGCAAATATCAATACAGTTTTCTCCTAATTTGATTGCAAATTAGAAATGTTAGCCTACCAATAAGATGCTAAATGAAAGACAAATGTCAATAACATGAACTTAAGTTTTCTATCAGTAGACCTAATACAAGCTAGATTATTCATAGAGCTTATGCATGTTTGTGGCTAGATGTAGATTTTTGTATTACAGGGGTTTTATCCAACCAGTGATGTGATGTATGTTGTACCATTTCAAAAGTTGCAACGAGAGGTAACAGAGTCACTTGAGAAAATTTTACATCTTGGCAGCATTTGTAAAAAAAATATTTGATATATCATTAATAGGCATATTTTCAAGATTTTTACTGCATATAATTTTATGTAAACTAAGTGTGTATATGACTTTAAGTAAAATTTTAAATATATATGAAATAAATCATTAGTTTTTTGCAGATCAAGTTTTAAGAAAAAGCATCAAGATAAATAATTAATTTCATGCTTTTCTGAGTAATTTTTCTTATATTTCCATTTTTGTTGTTATAAGATTAATTGTTTCATGACATCCATATAAAAAATATTTAATATTAAAAATTAATTCAATTTTCAATTGCATTTAGTTGTATAATATAGTCTCAAGGGAGATAATTCAGTTTTCCAACCAATAATTTTCAGGGAGAAAGTATGCTTCCAATTCAAGATTCAGGACAAGCTCTTGAACAACAACTTCAGATTCAAGAAGACAGGGTAAGTTTATATTAGACAAAGAATCATAAATGATATGAATATTGAAAAACAAGATTAACAGTAAGCAGTAGATGACTAAAAATTATCAGGTATTCTGACACTCATTTAAGATAATTATCAGATTGTCACCACAAAAATAAGCAATTCCTTATTTGAAGGTTAATGAATTTTTTCAGATGTTGATATACATACAGTATGTATGAGTTCTTGACCGTTTTGATTTTCCAACTGATCTTTCAGAAAATTATCCAAAAGGTCAGATGGACCTTTACAATTTTAGGAATGGTCCAATTTTTATATGCCCGTCAAAATTTTGACGGGACGTATTATGGTATACAAATGTCCGGCGTCCAGCTGTCCAGCGTAAACATGTCGCACCGTAACTTGAGAACAACTTATCCAAATTTCATGAAACTTAACATAGTTGTTTCTTATGATGGTCAAACGATCTGTATACTTTTTAGTGAAAATAAGTTTAAAACTTTTTGAGTTACAGGACTTTGTAACTAAAACAGGAGTGTGTTTTTTTCACATGTCGCGCCGTATCTCAAAAACGATTTATGATTATTACTTAAAACTTTACACACTTCTTAGTTATATTAATCTAAAGATCTGTATACTTTTTGGTGATGATTCAAAATTTTATCTTAGAGTTATTGAGTTTTTTGTAAAAAAAAGGGGGGGTTTTCACATGTCGCACCGTATCTCAAAAAAGATTTATGATTTTTGCTTATAACTTTACACACACCTTAGTTATATTAATCTAAAGATCTGTATACTTTTTGGTGATGATTCAAAATTTTGTTTTTAGAGTTGAGTTTTTTGTTAAAAAAAAGAGGGGTTTTCACATGTCGCGCCGTATCTCAAAAACAATTTATGATTATTGCTTAAAACTTTACACACTTCTTAGTTATATTAATCTAAAGATCTGTATACTTTTTGGTGATGATTCAAGATTTTATTTTAGAGTTATTGAGTTTTTTGTAAAAAAGGGGGGGTTTTCACATGTTGCGCCGTATCTCAAAAAAGATTTATGATTATTGCTTAAAACTTTACACACTTCTTAGTTATATTAATCTTTAATGGAAATTATACTTTTAATCATTCAAGTCCTCTTGTCTTTCAATGGAACTTGCCATTTTTATAAAAACATTTATTTTAGGAAACCCAGACATACTATATTATGTCCTGTTTCCAGAGTAAGTATTTAAATGCATTTCAAATGTACTATTTTTAGGCAAATAAATTGACACAAACCTGGATGGATAAATGGATGGAGGCACATGAAATCATCAAGGTAATATTTGATTATACTAAACAAACTTATTTCCTCCAAAACGTTATTAAGTTTCTACTTCAGTGTCTTCTTAAAACATTGATCATGTTGATTTAAGAGTAGAAAAAGCAATCATGTTACTTTTATTTTTATCATAAAAAAAATTAATGAGTTGATGAAGAAAAAATTACTTACAAAATTTTAATATAGAAGTTGTTAATTTCCAATATGCCATAGTCTGAAGAAAGTTTTTGTATAATAAAAAAATGTTATTAAAGTGTTTGTTTTATAGGAATCTGACCTGAGTATTAGAGGGCTAAATAAAGCCAGCTCCATGGGAGTGTTGATAGATTCACAAATGCCACACTTGATAGGGATGGACAATGACATCCTTAGTACTGGAGTTATTATTTACCATCTAAAGGTAGGACCATTAATGCCATATTATTTACCATCTAAAGGTAGGACCACTAATGCCATATTATTTACCATCTAAAGGTAGGAACACTAATGCCATATTATTTACCATCTAAAGGTAGGACCACTAATGGCATATGATTTACCATCTAAAGGGCATATTATTTACCATCTAAAGGTAGGACCACTAATGGCATATTATTTACCATCTAAAGGTAGGACCACTTATGGCATATTATTTACCATCTAAAGGTAGGACCACTAATGGCATATGATTTACCATCTAAAGGGCATATTATTTACCATCTAAAGGTAGGACCACTAATGCCATATTATTTACCATCTAAAGGTAGGACCACTAATGCCATATTATTTACCATCTAAAGGTAGGACCACTAATGCCATATTCTATTTTAAAAGATGTGATATTCCCATGAATTATTATTACTGTAGTCTCATTATTTTTCATGGAGTACTAATTTTTATGGATTTTGTGGATCAAGGGTCAGGAAATGGTTATATTTGCCAGACTTGACTTAAACTGAAATGTCATTGACTGAAATGATAAATTAGGATTTAGGTCAAGAATTATTTTTTTTCTCAATTCTGTGAGATCGGGTTTCTGAATCCCCATTTTACACTAATTTTTGTAATTTTTGGTTTGAAATGCTTCTCAAGTAAAAAGCCTGCCCAAATTTTGTATTAAACAGTACTTAGGGAAACTGGTTTTGTGGAATCATTCCAGTGGTAATTAAATAAAGAAACATACAAATTTTCAGCAATATAGAGTCAGAATAATGCTTTTTTAAAAAATAATGTCAAACTCACATCCTTGTCAACAGTAATGTTGTGAGTTCAAACCCCACTTTTGTAAGTTGCATTAGGTGACTAGGATTGTCTGTATTCTTGTGAAGGTTGTGGTTCTCTCCTGGCTCACCATGATTTAGCCAAGTGTGCTGAAAGTGGTGCTAAATAGCCGCAATCAATCAATCAATTACAATTATTAGTTTAAAAATATTTGTCAATGTTCATAATATAGTTTCCTATACATGCTGCCTATACAATGTTCTTTATTGTTTCTGCAGGAAGGAAAGACTCTGGTTGGAAGAGAAGATGCCAAAAGAGAGCAGGATATAGGTAATATGATAAACTATATAAATAAAACTATGTTGACAAACTTAAAACTAGATGTGTAACCATAGGTTACAAATATTCTGAGTTCATTTTGCAATATTTCAAGAAAGAGGGGGAATTTTCAAGTGTATAATATGTGTCCCATCTTTTTAGCTCACCTGGCCCATCGTCGTCGTTAGCTTTTTACAAAAATCTTCTCCTCTGAAACCACTGTGCCAAATTTAACCAAACTTGACCACAATCATCATTAGGGTATCTAGTTTAAAAAATGTGTCCGATGACCCCGCCAACCAACCAAGATGGCCGCCATGGCTAAAAATAGAACATAGGGGTAAAATGTAGATTTTGGCTTATATCTCTGAAACCAAGCATTTAGAGTAAATCTGACGTAGGGTAAAACTGATTATCAGGTCAAGATCTATCTGCCCTTAAATTTTCAGACAAATCTGACAACCTGTTGTTGGGTTGCTGCCCCTGAATTGGTAATTTTAAGGAAATTTTGCAGTTTTTGGTTATTATCTTGAATATTATTATAGATAGAGATAAACTGTAAACAGCAATAATGTTCAGCAAAGTAAGATCTACAAATAAGTTGTCATGACCAAAATTGTCAGTCGACCCCTTTAATAGTCAATTTTTAACAATTTTTTGTAATTTTTTGTAATCTTTTACAAAAATCTTCTTCTCTGAAACTACTGAGACAAATTTAACCATACTTGGCCATAATCATTATTAGGGTATCTAGTTTAAAAAAATTTCGATGACCCCACCTTCCAACCATTATGGCCGACTTGGTTAAAAATAGAACATAGGGGAAAAATGCAGTTTTTGGTTTATATCTCTGAAACTAAAGCATTTAGAGCAAATCTGACAGGTGGCAAAAATGTTCATCAGATTTAGATTTATCTGCCCTGAAATTTTCAGACGAATCCGACAACCTGTTGTTGGGTGCTGCCCCTGAGTTAGTAATTTTACAAAAATTTTGCAGTTTTTTGTTATTATCTTAGATATCATTATAATATCTAATATCTAATACTATTAATTATGATTTTAACCTTATTTTACATGATTTCCAAAGCATCAGTAAATACTGAGAGCCTCTAGTTTTGAAATAGCGTGTGTTGAAACTTAACCTTAGGTGAGCTGTGCATCTTCAATATGCCACTGATACCCAAACAAAAAATTGATAGGATAGCATAATTACATGATTTGTAGCGATATAAGGGTACATGATATCAGGCATGTTAAAACGATAAATCAGGATTTAAGTCAGTAAAACAACTGAACTATAAACTGATAAAACTAATACATGTATCTTAATAACCTTCTTGTTTTCAATTATGGCCATGTACAATTTGTAGAATGTAAGTGTATGTTAGGGCTGTTCCAAAAAGTATTATATGGGAATTGAAAGGCAATTTTTAATTTACCACACCATGTATGAAATTGTAACTGATTATTTAAAATATAAAAATAACCACCGCCCTTCAATTTAAAATAAAAGTATATTATGTACTGTGGATGCATTACTATTCTAGGGATACCAAGTTTTGTGGATTTAGTTGTGAATCATGAATTTAAATGTTCATCAAAGCACAAATTTCCAATAGCCTGGTATGCAGATTTTTGTAAAACAACGAAATCAAATCACGAAAATACAATTTTTCCTTAATCCACAAATATTGATACCCACAAAATTAAATGAATGAACAGTATGTTCAAATGCATCACTTCTTACCTTATGTAATAATAAGAGAGGGTTGAATTGATTTCTTGTAATTTTCCCATTTGATATCATGTTACATTATACAATTGATCAATTATTTATCTAAAATTCAACCTTATATTGAAATTAAATTTCTTGTTTGATTTGATTTTTGAATTTATTTGAATTTAATTGGTATTTCCTTTTATCTCATGTCATTATTTGATATTTGTCAGAAACATTTTATGATAGCTGTAGAAGTTTAAATATTTTATTGTTATAAACAAATAGAATTTTAAGTATTATAGTGTTAAAAGCAAACAGAGAGAAGAATGACTTGTCACAAAAAATATATTTCAATTTGTTTTTCAGTTCTGAGTGGTCCAGGGATTCAGAGAGAACACTGTTTAATCAAGAATGTAGATGGCAGTGTAACATTGTATCCAAACAGAGGCTCTCAATGTACAGTCAATGGACTGGATTGTAAAGCACCAGTTCTTCTTAAACAAGGTAACATATTCTTTATATTATTTACTGAAATACATTTTGAAAATTTAGTATCCTGGTATAGGTGCCCAATTTTGAAGAGAGTAAAGTCTGATATGTTCAACCATAGTTATTGAACAGTTTGTGTTTGGTTTTACGCTCTAGTATTATATGTAATATGATTTGGTGAGACGTGACATTTCTAGGCTTTTTTGCTTGTTGATTGCATTGTTTAATCCTTATTCTTGACCTGTTTTAATTAATTGCTAAATTGTTGTGTAATTGGTTTTGTTCTGATACAAGTATTAGAATATAGTATCATTATTTCATTTTCAGTAGTTACTTTTCTGTCATCAATATCAGAATATCTTCTTTTGTTAAATTTTTATGCCCCCCGCCGCTAAGTGTTACTCTTGTCCATCTGTAAGTATGTCTCAAAATTGGTTTCCATTCTCTAACTTTAGTTTGCCTTATACACAATGCTTTTTACCATAAAACACAGATCAAGTTCTCAATTTTGGGTGGCATCACTTTTACAAGTTCTCTAGTTGTGTCTCTTTATAATGTTACATGTAAGTGGGGGCATCATCTGTGTCCCATGGACACATTCTCCATTTATTTTGTTATATAAGTAGTTATCGATGAAAAATCTTTTGTAGTCTGAGGGGGGGTAGGAGGGGTCCTGATCCCGAAATCCCGGGCTTAAAAAATGGAATCCCGAGGTCCCGAATTTAAAAAAATTCAAATCCCGAAATTCGAAAAAAGAATTCCCGGATCCCGAAAGGATCAATCCCGAAATCCCGAGCTTAAAAACACCCGATCCCGGAGTCCCGATTAAGGTCCTAAACCCCCCCCCCCCCCCCCTAGTCTTATAACTAATCTGGACTGGACAATTTTGAGCTTGACATATTTACAATTTTGCCTCTAGAAGTCTTTTTCATTTTTATGCCCCACCTATAATAGTAGTAGGGGCATTATGTTTTCTAGTCTGTGCGTCCGTTTGTTCGTACGTCCATTCAGCCGTCTGTCCTTCACGTTAAAGTTTTTGGTCAAGGTAGTTTTTGATGAAGTTGAAGTCCAATCAACTTGAAACTTAGTACACATGTTCCCTATGATATGATCTTTCTAATTTTAATGCCAAATTAGAGTTTTGACCCAAATTTTACGGTCCACTGAACATAGAAAATGATAGTGCAAGTGGGGCATCCGTGTAGTATGGACACATTCTTGTTTATGTCATTGGGTTGCAGTCACATTGACATATTTTAAGTAAAGAGATATCCAACATAGATATTTATGATTAATTACAGGTGATAGTGTCATACTTGGAAAGAGTCAGATGTTCAGGTTTAACAACCCAGCAGAGGCAGCTGTACTCAGGGAAAGAAGAGCTGTGAGTACTTTATACTTATATTTAAGTCGTATCAGCCATTTCATGTCTTGATTTTATTATCTTTCCCGGTATACCAATTTTCATGGATTTTTGTGGGTGTTTGTAAAACACATTTTAAATGTTCGACAAAGTACATATTTTAAATAGGTCTGTAAACTGACTTAAGCAAATCCACAATATGAAATATCCTCAATCCACAAAAAATTGGTACCAATAAAAAATAAATGAATCCACAGTTTGCGGTTTTATCTTGTAACCTTAGATCTTTTTAAGCTGAGATTTTGTTTATCTTTAAATATAAACTATTAAAAACTATATTTTCTTGATAACTAACATTAAAAAGATAAGTGGAAGAAAGTTGAAGTTTGATATTATATAATTTCAATGAAAATGTACCCCTTTTGTCGGGCTTAAAAGAAACTTAGCTTCGATATCATGTATGTGAAGTATTTTCTACAAATGTTCAAAGATAGATGTACCAATAGAAACTAGCTGTCCTGATAAAGTGTCTAAAAATGGCGTTAAACGACAACAAACACACAATATAACATATGGAATTATAAAAAAATTGAGAAATTAATGCAATTTTTGTTTGTTTTTGTAGTCTCAAGAGTGTTTATTAGATGAACCAAGTCCATCTTTCATGGAAACTGACCAACATAGGACTGTTACAGCCAACAGAACTCACTGGTAAGCCATCACTAAAACATCACTCCTTATATACACTAAAGGGACATAAATCCTCCTTGTCAAATGTTATGTCCAAAATTTCAACAAAATTTTCAATTGTTTTCTGAAACATTGATCACAGTGTTAAATAGTGAATCATAAATTTACTAAGATATACTTTTAAAATTTCACATTAATGGCTCAATAAAAATAATACAACAAAATTAAAATGTGAGCGAAACTTATCCCATTGCAATTGTTTGCACTATGAAAAACAATTTAAAACTCTCTGAATTTACAGTATATGAAAGTAGGGGAACCAAAAAAAAAGCATGAATGAAATAACTCCAAAATTTTATATGCCTTCAGCAATGTAGTTGTATTTTTGTATAATTTTGCATATATGACATATTTTTATATTTACAATGAAGATCACTACTCAATTTATGAAAACTCCTTTTAATATATGAATTATCATAAATATTGATTCATGGCATTTTCCCATATGCACTAACATATGGTTTTATTAAAATTTGAGTGATAACTGAATCATCTGCTAAAGTGTGATTGGTGATAAAATATAGAATAACACAAAAAAAAGTTTGAATCATTCCATAGTTCATGCTGTTTTTGAAACATAAAGTAACAGATGTCATGCTTGTTTAATGTACAAAGAGAGACAAGATTAGTAAGCAATATTATGGAGTTATGCATTTTTAATGGTGATGTCCGAAGCATCATATGAAATAAGAAAACATTTTTAAATTATAATAATAGAATTTTTCTTGAATGTCTGTTTTTATGATAGAAATTGCATGGGGAAACCCTCAATCCTTTAGCATGACTTATATTACGAAAGATAAATCCTTTTTCCAGGTCTTTTTTCAGCTATCCTAGGCCTTAATTCAACATTTAATTCAACTTGTGATGTCAGATTTTTTTTTCTAGTGCAAACTTTTTGAAAAGGTCATCTTTGACTTCTATTTTTAAGATATAAGATTGCTTTTTTTACTATGATAAAAAAAAATTAACAGTTATTTTTAATACAATAATGAAAATGTTAAAATTAAAATAGACTTTATATTTTTAAGATATGAGATTGCTTTTTTTACTATGATAAAAAAAAATTCAACACAGTAATTTTTAATACAATTATGAAAGTGTTAAAATTAAAAAAGACTTTACAGTCATTTGTTTTTATTTTAGATATATTTTTTTAAATTTGAATTAAAGTCTTCAAATTAACAGGAAACGTTTATTGATGTGATTCAAAGTAATGGAAATTTGAAGTTGAATTTGACATCATTAGTTATTTAAGGTGTTTTGCATGTTTTGTGGGGATTTTAACATGCACTTTGTTTTCTGTATAGTTTGTATGCTTCCACCGAATTCTGGTAAGTAAGGACAGACAACTCTTTTATCTGGCCTCTTTCTGGGTTTTGCTTCTTTTAGTTATAACCCTTGGTGTTAGATTTTTTTGTTTAGTTTTAAGCATGTGCATGAAAAGAGCTTAACCCATCCTTGTCAACATCATGGTGTGTCCTAAAACTACATTAAATCAGATCTGTCAAAACTAATCAGATGGTTTTATGGCTTATTTGAAATCAGAGCATGTAATATTCATATACTTTGATACCCTGGATACTAATCCAAAAATATCATTGGTAGGAGGTAATTTTAACTGCTTATTGTTATATATGAAGAATGCATGCATTTTAGGTTAAATACCATATGTAAAAAAAATTGTTTCTGTGTTGTAGTTATGAAATGTAGTAATTTTAAATGGCTATGAATAAAAGAATGATTTGATGTGTATTGTTTTTATTACATTTAAATCTTTGTTTATTGATTTATTTAGGGCTATTCAACACAAAATGTAGGGGAAGAGGTGTAGGAAAGCTTTATTTTCAACACCTGCAACCAAATCAAAGTGTATTTGTGTTTAGAAAACTTTTCTGAATCCTATCACCCATGTATTATACAAAGTGCTTTCCAACTCCCTTACATTTTTTCAAGAATATCCCTTATGAATAAAAGAAGATTGCATTATAATTTATCATTAATGATCAGCATTATTTGTATGCTTTTGATTGAGTTTAGCAAACTGAAAGTATTTATTGCAGGTCTAAATATACACAGTCGTCACTTTTACATGCCAATAAAACTACAAAAGAATGTATTTAATTTTCAAAACTGCTTATTTCAAAATATGTGCGCAAGGTTAATTGTTAACAAAATATATTTGTATAAAGGGTAAGATTTTTAAAAATTGATAAAGAGAAGTACCATTAAATGTGGGCATGTCCAATAACTGTGGGTCTTATTGGGTCATATGGTTTAATTTCTAAAGCAATAGACCAATCAGATTGTCTGGTCAGAACCTGAATGTAATTTATATCTGATGTAATTATTTTGATAGAGTCATTACACTAACACCCCATCCCATCCCCTGCTTTCTGATGTGGGCAGTATAAAGCGATGTGGTCAGTCAGTCCATTGGTATTTCCATCTCTTCTTTCATTGTCTGTTTGTCTCTGTACCACTTTTTTATCCACATCTGCTCCTGAACTGCTAGACAGAATTTTCTGAAACTTTTACAGAATCTTACACACACTTTGTAATTTTGCACCTCCCATTTCAATTCTTCATCCCACTAAATTTTGATGGATCACTTTGGCATGACATAGACTTTGTCATATGTGCACACTACAAAATACATTTTTATCAGCATCTCATAAATCCCTAATCCGAAATTAATTGACCATTCTTGGAATCTTCACAAAATAATGCTGTTGTGCACCTCTAATTTAATTTTTTATCCAATTATTTTTGGGGTTTCTTTTAGCAAATCATAGCCTGTGCCATTGCTTGATCTGGGGATGTACACATTTTGTATCTGCATATCCTACTAAATGAGATCACAATTCTTTGAACTTTCTGAGAATCTTAACCATATAATGCAATTGTGCACTTCTATTTTGTATTTTTATCTGAGTTATTTTTGGTGTTTTCCCAAGAAAATCCTATAAACTTTGCCATTGCTTTATGTGGGACGGTAGTGTATCATTTTGTGAGCTTTGCTCGCAATGCTTCTAGTAAATTTCTTTTTTTTCAACAGATTTGATATAGCATGAAAAGACATCTTTGCTAGTGTCTTGGATTTTTTTAGTGCATGTTTAAAATTTATTACCTAATTATGTTTTTGAGTTACTCCCCTTGCTTCAGGTGCAACAGCTATAGTTTATAATTGTAAGCCTAATAGCTATCATGGTTTGATATTTTTTTTTCATTTAATGTTGCTGATGCTTAAATTCTTGAACAGCCTGTGGCTTTTGTTATCTTTTTAAGTGTGCATTTTGTTATGTTTTTATGAGTGCATTTTTGTTATGTTTTTATGAGTGAGCATCATGCTACCGTAGTTTTGGGTTTTTTTTTACATTTGAAAAATACAGACTATAGTTGCACAGTAATTATATTAGTCCTCAATTTATTGTTAAATATCAGAGAACCAGGAAAAGGGCTTAGTCATGAAGTTTAGAAAGTTGAGTGAATTAAGAGCAGAACTAGCCAATGGGCCTATATGAGAGATATTGCTTTTACCTAACTTGCATTTGCTGTCTGAAATTTTTTTCCAATGTTAAACATTTTTGGAAACAAATATGGAAGGAAGGTTCTTTTTTATCGGCACTGGAGGGAGAGTTGATCAATCAGTCTACTAATATTTCTGCAAGCATGGTCCGACAAAAATTTTACTTATGCCCACTTAAAGAAATATTTAGGTAACTATTATTCTCCGTCATTTAGGGGGAAATGTGGTATTTTTTATTGAACAAATCTTGGTGATTTTTATGTTTTCTCTATTTTTCTCTGGATTGTCAGAAGTTAGTCAATGTTGCTTCATCATACTAGGAAAATCACATTACTGTAATAAAACTGTTTTCATTTAAGTTATTTGGAATCTGAAAACTGATAAGAAATACAAGCAAATATGAACCATTATTCTGATTTTGTACATTTTTCTTGCATTTTTAATTTAGTTATTTACATATGCAAAAAAAAAACTTTCTGATATTTTTGTTTTTGTTGACAATATTAAATTTGTTACCAATGATATGTAGTTCTCTTTTTCATAATAAGAAATCGTTAGTTGTATCAGTAGTTTTTGCATGGAAGTTGAGATTTTCTTGTATATCAGGAAGTTTGCAGTAAGCTTGTTTTTTGCACCTTTTTATCCATGTTAACAATGATTGTTTAATAATTACCATTGTTGAATAATCCTTACATATTTAATGGACTGTATTGGATTTGCTAACTGCTGGGATTTGATGGGCTCATACTGTTAGTAATAATTGAACAACATTGATTGATTTTTATATTGTACAGATAATTAGAATAGCTACCTGACAATCTACTTTGACAGGTGTAAACACAGGTGTTTTATCTTTCAGTTTACAATTGGAGAATCAGTACCAGTCTGAAACAGAGAAAATAGAACGAGCAAAGTAAGTATGAATAATTGATACTAATGTTGTGACAATATTTTGCTGTTTTTGTTCATTTTATTATTGACAAGTTTCTGTTGAGTTGTTTAATCGTTATTTAATTGCTGGTATACTTTTGTGCTTGATTGGTATTGCTGCTTTCCTGCTTCCTGTTTCATCTTTCCTTGAACTCTTTTTTAAGGATATCTTGCAGTTGTTGTAAATTAATGAAGCTACTGGTGATTTAATTGATATTATGCAGATTGCAAATCTTTCTAAAAAAAAAAAAAGCTTTTGCTTTTCAAATACTTTGAATATAATTGTATTATTTAGATACATGGGACCACTGGTTCATACTTTTACTATCATTAAATTCATTTATCTTAGCCCTTGCCTTTATGATTAACATTGTTCTATCCTTATGCTTAACCTTGCTTTTACTAAGATGGTTATCTTGTCCTCACAATAGCCCCAAATAAAACAAAATCCTACCCTCATCTTTGCCTCTACTTCACAATAATCCTATTCTTGCTTTTATCCTAACCTAACTTTGAGTACTGATTTTATGTCATAAAATCTTACTTTATGGGATCTTTGACTATGTGTAGCCTTATATTTACTGTAATTGGCACCTTTTTATATTCTACTTCGATTCATTATTACCATAGAGAGTGAATGTTACATATTTTACGACACTATTTTATTTATAAACATTTTCTATTAACCTTTTAAGTTTATGTCTCATTTGACAGTTTTATGATTTAAATATTTAATTGAATTTTAAAGTAAAAATCCTATTATGGTATTTAGTGACATTGAAATTATGTAAAAAATAAAATATTTAAAAAAAATATTGTTAACTCATGCTTGGAATTGTATTTTCAACATGGAGAAATGTCAAAGGATAACTTATTAGTTGTAGTGCATAATGTCGTTATATCATGATGATTCTAGCTTATTAAGGTAAGATAAGATAGTTTATAAGTCTTTCTAAATTCTTCAATATGATACATGATTTTAAACTAATGTTAGGATTTTATCCATTCTTTTATGAGATTAGGATGTTATACCTGTTTAAATTTAATGTCATGCTGGCAGGAAAGCTTATAGGTAAAGAATGAGAAATCTCTTTTACCTTCTGTTCTTATTAATAATAAAAGTAAAGAGATTCAAACATTTCTATGGAAACTGTTGAATTATTTATAATAATTCAATAATTAAATCAATACCCCCAATTAAGTAGCATTGTCCTATTATGTAAAGGATATAACAGATAAGTCTTATTAATTCATGGAACTATCCAATCTTTATGAACAATAAGCTTATTAACATAAGCAGTCAATTTAAATCTCAAGAAGTTAACTTTCAGAGGTTGTTAATTTATAATAAAAATACACTTGAGAAATGTATAACTGTTAAAGGATACCCTTTGCCAGAAGATAAGAGGGTACCTAGTGATCTGTAAAGGTTTTATGTTATACCTGGATTATATACCTGCAGTTGTTGAAGGAGTTGACTTTAAACCTTATACTTATCATCAATAGCCGGTCACACTATGTAATATGTACTCCAGGGGGAAAAAATGTATAATTCATTATCCAAACTGATTGTTTTCGGATATTCATCTGCATGGCCATGTTTTGTTGGCGAAGGGTAAGTCCTAGCACGTTTTAAAGATAAGGGTTGATTTTTTTCTTTTGGTTTATATAGTTATATACATTTATCAGGTATTAAAGTTATATGTATAAGTTAAAGTACACTTTTAACTGAACTAAAAATGTTTAAATGGGGAAATTTAAAAGTACACACTTTTACTAAAAAAGGGGAAAATGCAACGAAAAAAAGAAAGATATTGGATATTGCACTATGTAAAAGTTTTGCCGATACTGTCAGATATGATGGAATGTCTTATAAGTGGTTCTAATAATATTTGTTGGTCCCCAGGGACTCCCTGCTGACTTTATAGAATATACTGTTTGTAAGATTTATTAACTGGTATGTGCTTCAAAAGTTAGACTGATTTTACTTATTGCTTATAAAGTTCAAAGTTTATTTGACAGGTTGGCTATGTGGGAAACATTTTCAAGATTTACTGTCCAAAATTTGACATCCTTTTCAGTTGTAAAATTTAACTGTTCTTTGAGGTGTTATAACTGTCAAAATTTAAAATTCCTTTTTTATTTACGAGACATATAAATATGTAACAATACAAATATTAGGGGTCATATTTATCTTGAGTGATAAGAAAGTCAGTTTAAATGGTTAATTACTTTCTATTTAAAGGCTAGATAAAAGAGAAATTTTACTGTTACATTTTATATGTCGGGACCTCTAATCTGGAGACAGATTGAAATATCAGATAATGACAGATATAGACGTTTTTCTTTTACTAGTCATTCTTTACAAAAGAAAGTCCCACCCAAATATTGTTTGAACATTAATTGTAAATACTTTGCTATTAATGGAAAATAAACAAGTAGTCATGTAAGAATGATTGATGTATATCTTGTTTAATTTAAAGTTTTTTTTTATATATGCATGTATAAAACTTAAGCCAAAGCACTGTAAATTAAGTTATGTCCCTTTATATTAGAAATTGTTATGACTTGGGCCCAATTTCCAGTACGAAATAAACAAGTATAAAATATGCAAAAAATCAAACATCTAAATTCAGTAGTTGTGAGCAAGAATGTCTTTTTTTATTCAAATACTTGCACAAAAATACCTTCGATGATATTTTCACTAAAAGTTATTTAATATATGGCCAACTTTTGACCTATGGAATTTTGTTTTTAGTAGATCTGTTGGAAGTTTATTATAGAAATGTACTTCCACATACTATACCTTTCTAGCATAGCTGTACAGTTTGTAAAAATCTATCAAAATATCCTTTATTAGCTTGAAAAGGTAATCATAAATGTAGGTTATTTCTTAAGGTAATAATGCAGATTGATAATAGGTCTAATTTATTCACATTTTTGCATGCATAAGAGTTTACAAACACTTTGAAGGAGCCATAAGAAATTTAGAAAATGTTATGTCAGGCTAACCTTACTGGTTAATGAACTGTACGGAAAATTGTTTTCTGTTTGTACAATAACTTTGTTTTCAAATTTGAATGTTTTATTTCAGGGAAGAGTTAGAAAGGTTAAAACAAGAACATTTACAAGCTGAGGAACAAAGACAATTAAAGGAGGAAGAATTGTGGAATACTCATAATCATCATTTACATGAAATAGAGGAAGAAAGGAAAAGATTGACTAAATTAAAGGAGGAGACATTTATACAGAGACAGAAAGCTGACCAGGAGCTACAGTATTCTAGAGAGTGTCTGGAGAAAGAAAGAGAAGCTTGTAAGTATAAGACAGACTTAAAACTTGGTTCACAATCACTCAAAAATAATTGTGTGCTACCCAGTCAGGACAACAAGGTTGAATTTTCAGACACACATGGTTAAGATACTTCTTTATTGGCAATTTGTACATTTCCCCATTGATCCTACTGCCTATTTAAAGATTAAGGACAGGACATGATACTCGAAAATATTAAGCAATGACTTCACATAACAATGCAGCAAAGTCACGTTTTCATGTCAATCCTCATCAATTTATCAATGATATGCATGCGAAGTCGTTCAAACAACCAAATGACCTTCAAAGCACTTTGTACATGTTGAATTAGTTTTACTAACTAATTCATGTAATTTAATATTTTAAACTAAAAATCAAATATAGTTAATAAATTTTGCTGATAAAAAGAATAATGATGTTTTATTTTGAAGCTGAATTCATCTGCTTGCATATCGGCACGCCCTAGCATGCTTGCTTAAAATTCTTACTGATAAAGTCAGTATCAAAAACAAAAATGCCATTATTCTTCATGTCCTTTGCATGATAGACTATATTTTTAAATTCAGTTTTGAAGTAGTTTTAGGTATTGCACAAAAATATCTTTATTTTGCAGTCTACCAAGAACTACAGAGTGAATTGACTAGAATTAGAACTGGTAAATCTAAAAGTACAGATGATGATTCTGTTTTCCCAGAAGACATAGACACTAGTGAAGTTTATATTGACTTTATTAGAAGAAGGAAACTTTCTGTTGAAGGCCAGCTTAAAACTATTGTTCAGAAGGAAATCCTGAGGACTTTTTCTCATCAAGAAACTGAAAAATCTCTTCGTAAAAAGACTGATGATTTAGAAGATGAGTTTGAGTTGTCTAAACATCAGATTGAAAACCAGTTGGTCAAGATTAAAGAAATAGAGGAACAATATCGACAGAGAGATGCCAAACAGTATACAGAAATAAACAAAACGGTTAGTTTATTGTTTGTTTACTTCATTTTGAGTTGAACAATGTTGTAATGTATGTGATGTTATGTTAGAATCTGTTCCTTCAGGATTACCTGAGATCAGCCCATGTTTTTGATTGGGTTCGTGTTGCTCTGTCTTTAGTTTTCTAAGAAATGGCTGTGTTTGCGGACTTGTTTGTCTTTACATCATTTTACATTTTTTTGCCATGGCATAGTCAGTTTCTTTTTGACTTAAGGATTTTAAATGTTCACATGGTATCTTCTGCCTTTTTTTTTTAAAGATGAATATAGGCAGAATGTGATCGTTTCTGTTGGTCTGAAAAAAAAATTGTGTTTTATTTCCTAACAACATCATCATGCATGCATTGTTGTCCTTTCCCATGCCGACAGAAAATCGATACCACAGATTGGCAAAGCAAAGAAACTTTATATAATAATTGAATTTCAGCCTGTGAAGATTTCATAATATGATTAAGCAGCTTTGTTTATCAAAAAAATAAGTTCACAATATATATTATGCCTAAAAGAATTAGAGAATTTCAAAAAAAGAACTGAAAGGAGGTTTATTTTAGTGGAGTCTAAATTTTGTGATTTTTAGGACCAAACCAATTTAGCAAGGTTTTATTTTTCATGCTTTTAATTTTTCTCTATTATTCTAATCTTCCTTAAATAATTGACTCTTTTTTCAAGATTTTATCTGATTGCGAAATGAGTAAAAATAAACATCTTGCAAAATCTCCTACCCTTTAGTAATCCTGAAACAGCAATTTTTTTCTCAAACAACAAATTTGGCACACAGTCAAATAGATATATAGAATAACCACTTACCATTGTCCAAAATACTTTTATTTGGAAAATAAGGTTCAGTAGAAATTTGATATAAAAGAATTTTTAAAGTCTTATAAATAAGATTTTGCACAGGTTGAAATCAGTACTGCAGTAAATTGGATATGGTGAACCTTTAATTGATTGAAATTGATAGATAGAATTTAAATTTAATAGAATTGTCTGAATTTTCATGCAGTGTATTGTTTATTATGCTTTAATTTGTATTGTATTTATATATGTTGTGTCTGCTTCAGATCATGGATATTGATTGTGGAAGACAATAACAAACATTGTTTTAAAACTTGTAAAATCGATCATGATCAATTATAGAGTGCATTTATAACAGACTAAAATAAACATATAAATGAGCAGGTGCATGAATTAATAGATATGAAGAAAAATGTATTTATTTACAGTTATTGGAAAATAATTCTTATATAATTTCAGACAAAATTACAAAAGTTTAACATTATAAGTATTGGTTTGGATTTACATACTTTGAATAGCAGAATGTACAATGTACAATTATGAATGTTTTATTACTGATTAAAAATTTTTTTTGCTGAAAATGATTATAAATTTATCTTTTTTTTCAGGAATCAGAATTAGACGAGATACAACAAAGAGAGGAGCAATTGGAACTGTATATAGAGGAAAAGCAGGATCTTTTAAATGTAAAATCAGATAAACCACGTCCACTCAGGACTGCTTGTAGTGTGGAGGTTCTTAATAACTTACCAGTAGAAACAGAATTTGGTCAGAAGACATCTAGTATGTTAGCATTAAATAGAGGAAGTGTTGGTGACTTGCCGGCTATTTCTCATCAGTTTTCATTGTCTTCCATGATGTCTGTTGATTCTGGGAGTACAGAATCAGATTTAAATAGCAGTCACTCAGATAGTAAAAGTAAATTAATTTCAGGTGCTAAGAAGAAAATTTCGACAGGGGCAAAAAGTGTTACTGATAGACTGTATCAAAAGTCAACACCAAAATTCAAATATGAACCAAAAACTAAAAAAACTTCATCGCCAGCTGCAGATCACAAAACCAGAGGAAGGAAAGGGTTACAATCAGACAGTGGTTCCCCTCATAGAATACATGATAATAATGGAACTATTAAGAATTCGACTCCTGAAAAAAGAAGGAGAACCTCTCCGTCGAAGACTGACAATGCTTATGATACATCACAGTCATGTGAAAATCAAACTTTATCAAGGAATGCTTCAAAACGACATGTGAAAAGTAGTACCTCATTAGCAAGTGTACCAGAAGCTGTTGGAGAGGAAGGGGATGATCAAATCATGCATTCTACTCCTGACATATCACAAGTTGTAAGGAGGAGAAATAAAGGCAACAGAAGTAATGTCTTTGATGATGACTTCAGGAGACACTCAGAACCAGCTGGAGAAGAATTGGCAGATGCCTTTGAAAAATATTCACAAGAAATGGAACTATCTGGTGGAGTTGATAACTCTAATTATAGACATAGTGTAAGTCAGGATGAAAGTGTGTCAAATAGAAATAATGTTGACATTCCGTCAGTAATTGTGTCTGATGATACTGATAATGTAACATTCCTTAGCAGAGGGGTCATCAGTGCTCAGGGACAAGAATGTCAGGTTTCTATGGCTGTACTTGACGGACAAGAAAGTGTAGTAACTATGGAGGACGTTGAAGGTCAACAAAAATTTCATGTTTCTATGGAGGACCATGCAGGTTTTATGGAATGTCAGTCGGACAGTACATCTCAGGAATCTTATTTAGTCATAAAACCTGACGTAAGATATGAAAAAGAAGTAAAAGTTAGTGATAACAATACAAATATTGATGAGGTCGTGAACAGGACGGCAAACTTCACAGTTGATCTGATGCCAATTATAGATGTGTCATACTGTGAGGGAGAACCTTTAATTCCCAAGTCACATAACAGTAGCCAAAACACACTTTCTTCTGAAGCAGATAGGTCAGACATTCTTGAAAATGATTTGAATCAGACTGAAAATGTTGACACAGGTGAATGTGTAGCACAAGGAAATAGTGAAAACATGATTCGAATAGGAAGTAAGCGAGAGCATAAATCACATCCTACCTCAAATGTACCCACAAAGCTAAGAAAAAGTGGTCAAAATAACTATCAATGGCTAGTTAATGCTATTTCTAGCTTGAGTGAAGAAAAACTTTTGGATTTAGATTATGGTGAGGAAAATGAAAACTCAGAGGAATCAGATAAAATTGACAATGAATTCCATGGAAATGATAGTGAGCTTGAAACTGATGGAAGTTGTGATGAAATCATTGATCAAGAAAATGGACAAAGCTGGGGTTGGAAGGCTCCAACAGGAGAAATACTTGTGATAGAAAATAAAGTAAACGATAATACTGACTCAAATGTGTCTAGATCTGAACAGGAATATCATGATAACAACAAGGAATATTATTCTGATTCATTAGATGATGAAGATTCATTGGATGGATCAAGACCAAGTGGGGATCACGAGGAGGAAGACATGAGCGATTCCTTAAATAGCTCTGGTGAAGAAGGAAATGAAAATAATGGTGAAATGAATGAATACAGTATAGATAACCCTGAAAATGGTGTCATTGAATATTTTTCTGACATTGAACCCGATTTAGAAAATGTCTTACCCGAGGAGATGGTACAAGACTTGTCTGATTATGATGAGGTTGCTGATGATGATGATGACGACATGATGGAAGAGCGTACACAGATCTACATACAATATCCTACGGACTTCCCAGGTAGTTTGTTATACAGTATTAAAGAAGAATCTGTCCCAGCATCACCTGATCTGTCAGAATCTAAAGATTTCAGTTCTGAATTAAGTTATGATGGCGATCAGACGCTAGAAGAAGATAAATATTTGTCACAGGTGGTAGTATTAGGACAGGAAAATCAAGCCACTGTTACCAGAACTGAGGGTGATACTGAGGAAAGCGTTTCCGAGATTCCTCAAGATAAGGTACAGCAAACTAAACAAGGAATTTGTGGGGAATCCAAAGATTTACAAAATTTACAAACTTTATCAAATGAAATGTGTGTAAGGAGTGAAACTCAAATTGTACTAACTGCAGAAATGGACAAAATTGAAGATAGTCCTTTTGTTTATCATCCAATTGGATCTGTTCAAGGTGATCAGGGTAAAGTGGAGCTAGTAATGTCAGCAAAATCTGTTCAGATCAGTGGAATGGATACAAGTGATGTAAATAGTGAGGATGATCAGGAAAACAGTGGTCTTTTACAGGAAACAACAAAAGACTATGATAGGAATCTTGAACTTTGTTGTGTCAGTACTCAGAATAGCAGAGAACTTGATAGTGAAAAAAATGAACAAGATGGATTTGATAGAAAACAATGTGAACAAGAAAGCAGATTAAGTACTGACGACACAAATATTGTCAGTGAACCATGCCAAGTTTGTAACATCACTGACAGTGAACAAACAGACATAAATGATATCAGTGACACAAACATTGAATGTCAAAGTGCTTCCGAGTCAGTCACTGATAGTTCAAACAGCTTTTTTGCTAACTGTACATGTGCAATGCACCAAGCTGCACAGGCTACAAATAACATAGGTAAACTTTCAAACAGTAAAATTTTGGACAAATCAAAAGCTTGTGAAAGTGAACTGCCATTGAAACAAACTACCCTTCATGATCAAAATAGCAAAGATCAAATAAACACACAATTACTAGATGCTAATAATTTGTCAGTCTCGGAGGAAGTTGATATGGACACTTGTAAACCGATAAATCTAAATGAAGAGACAAACTGTGTTGGTGCTGAAACTCAAAATGAGCATGAAAAGGTTAGGCCAAAATGTTCCGAAGACAATTCTGTTAATCCTAATGAATTCATTAAAGTGAAACATAGAAGATCTAAACCTGAAACGAGGACTTTAGGAGTATCAACCTCACCAGATTTGGTTACTGTTGGTTGTGGTGATGATATGGCCAGTGATGATTCTTTACAAGAAGTTCAGGAAGAACTACTTGTTCTACAGGAAGCTCTGGATAATAAATCTCCAAAGTAAGTTGTGTATTTATAATTATACTCATACACATACAATTGGAAAGTTTAGTACTGTCAATCATAAATTTTAAAAATTACTGATTACATATTGAGAGACTTTTCTTATTTCTAGTATTATGATTTAGTATGGTTATAATGATCATCATATTTCAATTTTTCATATTGGAAAAAGACAGTTCTCACACTTTCTGAATATTTCAAAATTGTTCAATGGATTTTAATTAAATTTTACACAGGGATTGCACAATGTGCAGAATGCACATTTAAGTTAAATTTAATTTACACATGTATTAATATTGTTATACTAGGAATCAGGTAAAATATACTTGAGTCAGCCATGTTTTGTCGCAGGTTTGGTCATAGCAGATTTGCAATAGAGCATTTTACAGAAATTTGCTCGATATAGCATTTGTAAATTGTCTTTATTTTAAAATACTTTATTTCAATGATATGATTTTTTTAAAATTCCGTCAGATTAATTAACAACAATTACTGATCATGCTGATGAATGGGTTTAATAAATGTGTGGTGATACTGATTTTCCTGTAAAATTTAACCAGGCATGATAGACGTTATCAGTTGTTTCATAAAAAAATATTATGTTTCAAATAAAGCAGGGTTGGGAAGTGGCCTCTCATTTGTAATTGAATATTTTATTTTTACTAGCTAAAGGACTATTACAAGTTATATTATAATACATGTTATATAAAAATTTTCTGAGAAGCATCATGTAGAAAATTCTTGACACAAAACATTTCTTGTCTATTTGCCATATCATCACAAAAATGTTGAATCATTGAACTTAATGCTTTAATGCAAGTTTAGTGTTATGTATATACATAATTATTCTGGGTAGACATTAACTTTTGAGTATTACATGGCTCAATAACTTATCAACAACATGTACATTTTTATGTAAATTAAATTTCCCTTGAATTTATCAGATTTTTTTCATGTTTGGTTAGTTTGTTTCAATGGTGCATGTTTCTTTGACAAGATAGATATGTCATGGAGTTTCACATTGAGATTTATAAGTTTACCTTTACTAATTAGAAAAAGTAAAAAGTCAAGGTATTATATCTGATTATTATGAATATTAATTGACCTGTTTATTGATTTTTATACCTGATAAAAAAACTATTATTATTAGTATCAATTGATCAACGGCACTGTGTTAAAATTAATTCAGGTATTTTATCAATTTTTGATCTAGATTCATTTCTCCCTTAGTATAATCATTAAGGATCAAAACATCTATATTTGACTTAACTCTTAACTCTAGTATCAATAAAAACAAATCCATTATAATATAAGATTTAATTGATTATAGGAATTTGATGACTTGCATTTTATCATTATTTTCCAGGTATACCAATACAAATGGAAGCTCACTGTCATCAGCAAGGAAAGCCACCAGAAAACGTGCCATGCAGAAGAGAGGAAGTGGCATTTGTACTGAATCTGAAGATTTAATGTCCAGTGATTCTCCTGGTAAGTTTTCCAAATATAATCTCCGAAAGATTTATTGTCTAAATTATCATCATTACCCTGCTCGAAAGGAGACAGGTTTTATTTGTTTACCTCTGTCCATAACACATATCTGTCACATTTTTCACTGCAACTATAGATCATTGCTTTTACATATATGACACCACGGTTTATCTTGCTGTGCAAAACTGAGTGATACAATTTCATTTCAATTCATTAGCAGTTGTACTACAAGAAACTATATCTTTAAAATGTCTAGCAAGTATTATATGGCACTAAGCTTCATCTGGTTATGCAGTACCATGTTATAAATTTTCAGTTTGTGGTGTTCTACTGCCGAATAACTTATATCTTGAGTAGGGTATGATTTACAGGCAATAACTGATTTACAGAATGTCTTTTTTTCTTGAGAAAATCTCTTACAGTAACTGTTTATACAACACCTAATTTTTATGGCAAAAAATTGAAATTTTACAAGGGTTTGAAATTGAGCAAAATATATTCCATAAATACAAAAATGTATATTTATTTATTACAAAGATAGCAAGACAAGCTTAAATGTAATTTCTATGGAAATTAATTTTGTTATCTCGTCTGCGACGAAAGTCACAAAATATAGGGATTACATTCAGGTGGCAGCGATGGCGTAAACAATTTGTATAAAGCTTTATATTTCAGAAGGTAGAAGATGGGCCATACATTGCAGATACCTTATGTTTCCAAGTTTCTGTCTTTCATATGTCCATTTTCCTTGACCTCATTTTCACGGTGCATTGACTTTAAAAGTGAAATACTCTCTTATTTTTAGTAATAGGATAACCATATTTGGTATATGACTTTGTTGCAAGGTCTTTATGTCAGTCAGGTAGAGTTCACCTGATCTTGACCTTGACCTTATTTCATGGATCAGTGATCAAGGTTAAAGTTACATGGTTAAGTCCATATCTCAGATACTATAAGCAGTAGGTCAGCTATATTTGGTGTATGGAATGGTTGTAAGGTCAAGTAGGCAAGACATTCCAGCATGTACACTCTTGTTTGTCTTTCATTCACCTCTAGGCAAGAAATACTCACAAAACAAAGATATTTAATCAAAGAATATCACAGATATTCAATAGATATTTAGAACTTTACATGGTATATTTGAATAATTATTTTTTTTAATTAATATAGAAATATTGGAATTTTTCAATTTAATAGCCCAATTTGATTTGATTCATATAATCTTGTTTAAAACAGTGTTAATTGATTGATTGAGAACATGATAGGGTTAATATTCTTTATTAATTTGACAGAATATTGGCTGGAAGTCAAATTTGATCTGTAAAAATACCCTGACCGAGTCAAAATTTTTCACACATAATACAAATTTCTTTACTTTCATTAAATAATTATATATGTAGGGTACTTGTTTACCATCAAGAAAACCAACTGTTAAGGTATGAAGGTATAAGAGCTTCTATTTTGTTACGATACAATTAAATCATTCTATGTCCGGGGTTTAAATCTACATTGGCCGATTGCCAAGAATTGATCAGAAAAACACTTACAGAATGTATATTGGGTCTGATCTTACAGAGTTTTATTGACATATGGGAACAAAATAGTGTTTTATTTTTGTTACATTTGAACCTGTGGGATATAAAGATGTTTACTGCATAAAAGGTCAGGTTAATGATAAGTATATTTTATGACATGCTACCTGCTTTGTTGGTTTGATAAAAGTTTTTGATGCAGTTGGTTAATTTTACATAGTCATTTAATAGTATGTTTTGATGTATAACATATGTACATAAAACATTTACAAAAATTTCTTAGATTTAAAGTATGTCATCAGAAAATTCAAAATTCCTTAACATATTTAAACAGGTAAAAAGTTACATGTTTAATTTGGTTTAAGCTATGTTTGCTAACGTATTAAAAATGTGTGGGATTATTAGTTTTTAAGTTTGAAATTTAAACTACAAGAATTATGGTTTACCTGCACAAAGATTATGTAAATATCTCTTTCTTGTAGTCATATGAATGTTTTATTGATGTCAGTTCTTCAAAAGACTTGCACATGTACTGTAAGCAAATATGACGACTCCATAAAACAAACTGAAAAAAGCATATGTACAGTACAGAAATTGGGCTGTATTTTGCCCCAAATTTTTAACTCAAGATACATTACATGTAAAAAGTTTTTTATTTGCCTAGAAAGTATGAACATTTTTTTAAATTACATGCATTAAAATTTGGAAAATTACTCCCAAATTAAGGTCAAAATTAGAGTTCATATAAGAATTTGACTTTTGATCAAATTTGTAGTAATCTAGTTTGAAAGCTAAAACTAATTTTGTTAAAAAGATTTCATTTGTTGGCTATATTCATGGTTGTAAATATTTAATTAGTTTTGATGAAATGGAAAAGAAACTACATGTATGTGTGTTTTCATACAATTGCATTCAAAACTGAATCGAAGCTTTTCTGTCAACTTCTTTGTGATGTCATACTATTAAAGTGTAGGACCACATTCTTTCTATATCAGCAGGTTAAATATTTTGAGCTTGCTTTCAGTAATGCCAAGCATTTTTTTATAGGGTATTATAAGTGTTCGTACATACTTCTTGGATTTTTGTCTGTTAATATGCTGGTATTATAGAGTTATGCGATATTTCCGAACAGGCTTTTTCATTATGGTTTCTTTAATATAACATTTGTCATTCCACTGATCCTTATTAAAAGTGAGGGACGGAGAGGGGTTCAGTTGACATCTAACTGAAAATGTTTTACAAGTTTTACCTTGCTTTATGTTCTTGTGACAGTTCCAATCCATATAAAGTGTTTTATGCGTTCCAAAAATGTGTTGTTGATGTCAAATTTTTCAAATTTATCACAACTTTTTTAGCACCAGGCAATTTTGAGCTACTCCAACTGTCATTTGGTTTCTATATTGTTGGGTTGCTGTCTCATTAATATTAACCTGCACCCCTTTATCCATTTCAATTTATAGTTTAGCATCGAAAAATGCACTTAAAACTAGTTTTTCCCTTTTATTTAAATTTTAAGACAACCAAAGGTCTCATTTGTTATAAAACTTGGCAGGAAATAATGTTTCAATGGGACAAATAATTCAAATACATTGCATAACAATTTCAACAAAGCTTATGTTTATGCTCTGTTAGATAATACTTATGAATGGGGAGTTATTATACATAACTAAGCAAATATTTTTTTGGTGTTTTTTTTTTTATAAAATATGACTATATATGCTTAGTATTCAATAAATGAACCCATATACTTTTATAAGGAAACACCTTTAAATTATTGGTTTCATTCCAAAATACAAAGATTTTTATAGCAACACAAGCGTCTTGACAAAATTATCTGAAGATAAAATATGTTAATCATAAAAACATTAGGTTTTAACAACCAGATTTCGCTATATACTTTAATATGGCAATCACCCAAAGTTTAGGAACTAAAAAGGATTTTATAATAAACTTGACTCAGTATGTTATTTATTGTGAAGATATCATGAAATTTGGCAAAATGTAACTTTGCTTTAAAGCTGACCTCAATCCACTTCTTTGGGGGTTCCTTTGGTTTATTTTAAAAAGATTTGTAAGTGCTGTCAGCATATTTCATAAATATGTGTTATAGAAAATCCTTTAAACTTTCTCTAAAATAACATTGTTATATAATGTTTTCCCTTGAAAAAATATTTATTTAAATACAGGACAATATTTAAAGATCGTTATTTTTTGGGGGCATGTTTTGATATAGGATGACAATCTTTTTTTGGTCAATGTTTAGAACTACGCGTTTATTTCGATTGAATTTAATCGCCAATTGATTGTCCAAATGATTTCTACAAGATTTGCCGACCAAAGTAAAAAATCTATTATTGATGCATATAAAATGGGAGCATCAGCTACAATGTATTTAATAGGCCATTATCAGGAAGCTTATAAGTTTCCATTGAAATTGAACATCATAAAAGAGGGTCATTCACTGTGGTAAACAATTCAAAATGCTAACCAGATGTCTATCAGTAGATCCCCTATTGACAGATTCTTATCAAGACCTAGGGTTTTGACATATAAGATTTATATGTGACAATATAAAGGACCATTGCAAAACAGTCCTATATAACTGCCGATAATAAATTATGCAGATATTCCTAGTCTATTAACAAGTTACCGGTAGTCTGCAGGAGTATTTGGAGAAGTTTGTTGTAGTTAGGTATAGGACTAACAGACTATGAAACTCACTGCCGCTTCTATTGATATACTAGTGAAATGAATGAAATCAAGATTTATTTTCCATCATTTTAATTCATAGGTTTTTAATCGTAAAAGGCACAGGTGTATATTTATCTGTTAAAAGGCACAAAAAATGTTATTTCATGTGTTTTTTATCAATTTTCAAACTTTAAGACTAATATACACACTGAGAAATTTTGAGTAATATTGTAATAGGCAGGCGTTTTTTCTTTCCAACCTTTGTTGAAATCAACAACTTGACATCATTTTTCTCCCCTGGGTTTACTTGCGCAAACCTCTTACTGAAATTTCTGGATTTGATCCTGGGAACATGTGTATTTTAAGAAAAAACTACAAGGTTGTTTAAAGTTATGTACTGGATTAACTCTTTTGAAGAATTTTTCAACATTTTCAAATTGGATTAAACTCAAATTTTATAACTCCATATATACTGGTGTTAGAGGATTAATGATTTTCATGTCTCATTGATCAGGATTTGTTGGCAAGAATATATAACTTTGAAAGGTTTTAGTATATACATATGAATATATACAGTTAAAGAGTCTTTTTGCTTTGATTCAAGTTCTCATGTTAAATGTTACTGACGTTTGGGTTTCCATTTTTGTTAGTAAGCAAATGATTGGAAAATATGCAATTTATATTTATTGCTTCTGCTTATCTACCAAATCCAGAAAATTTGACATGTATGTTCTGATTTCCAAAACTCTTTAACTCTATAATAATTTAAGAGCTTGCACAGTATATTATGAATTGGAAAACTTTAGTTAAGGTCAAGTTACAGTAAATGGGCTATTGTCTGTCCTGTGGTCGGGTTGTTGTCTCTTTGACACATTCCCCATTTCCATTCTCAATTTTATGTCACAGATTTTCTTAAAATTTTTCATACCCCTTTGGCTCGCTCAACTTTAACTGAAAATTGAAAAAATAATGCATTTATCTGTTTTATATTCTGAAATACTACTGATTGAATTCTTTCAAAGTAGGTGAACATTTGTATCAAATTTGCAAAATATTACCAAAATCTGTGACATAGCCCATTGACTGTTTCTTGACCTTCAGTACAGTATCAAGCTGATTCACAGCAACTTTTTGCTCAAATTGTTCGTTGATGAACTTGATCAAGTTTGACCTCTGTATGTTGTGTCTTCTGGTTTGATTGCTCTTGTAGATGAAACACCAGAAATAGCAAGTTTCATAACCATTTTATAATATTGGTACCTTATAAGTTATTAAGTAATTGTATGTGAATTTAAACATAAAATGAATCAAGTAGTTGTTGATTATGTCTTTGAGGAAAGTTTGATCTGTAAATGTAAACATTGACATGGTTATGTCAATTGTAATCCACTGTAGATCCCTTTGTACTGTACCTTGACATGTACTGTGACATTCTTCTGTCAGTCATACAGTTATCAGTAGAAGGTCTTTTAACACATCAATATTATGGATCAAATAGATGATATGATTTGATCAAATTACCGTCAACTATTTATTGATAAATACTGACAATTGTAGGTGCAAAACAAACAATTTCAGTCAAGTTTTAGCTTGAATTCTTTCAATAGAAAGATGGTTTCCATATAAACTGCAGATCAACTAATTATTGTATATCAGTTTGGTTTCTCTCTTTAATTATTTAATTGCGTTGTATCTTCCAAGTCAAAATTAAATAAAGATTTTTAAAGTTTCTTGCTTTGTTGAGAAGGCCACCCAACAAAAGACAGTTTTCTACATCAAAATAATTGTCTAGTACTGTGATTGTAGATAATGGTAAATGTGTTCTTGTTAGCAAAGACACTTTTTTTTCATGTGTGGTTGTAATCTTTAGTAATTTTAACTTAAAATCAAGCGAGGGAAAATACTTTTTTTTTTATAATCAAATTCCTTGATGTTTTGGTTATCTTTAACCAAGTGTCGACCATAAAACCACCACATGCCTCCCTTTTACAAAATTTGAATTGATATGTATCGCTTTAAGTTTAATTTGTAAAATTACTCAATATTTATAAAGATTATTTATGCCATTTAATTTTTGTGTAAGAGATCTTTTTGAGTAAATTCCATTAAATTATTTGTAAATAGGGATTATTGTTCAATAATACGACCTGATGGTCTAGTTTTGGTCACGGACCTTTTAAGTTTAGAAAATTAAATAGCGATATTTACATTTCAATCATTTCCACAAAGCTTGTATTGTTTGCTGATATTGAAATAACGTTTTTAGGTTGATAAATTTGATATCAACGATATGGATGGGTTTAAATAAATATGGAGAACACATTTTATATCTACCTACATGTGATGGAAACTGCTTACAAATTCACGATATGAAAACATGATAAATTAAATTGTTCGGAACCAGAGTGCAATTTTTGATGCGAGAATTTAATTATATTTATAAATTGAAAACTCTATACATTTAACATATACATGTAGGTGTAATTCTTGGCAGAGAGAAGAGAGATATTTCAATTTAAAGGTGATAATATTCACATTTTAAACAACGTTTTGGTCTACTGAACAGAATTAAAACCTGTGATTTTGTCCCTGAAAATTTATATTGATTCTTTTAAGTAGTATATTACATGTGAAGTCGTTGGAAGGTATATTTACCAAAGAAATTGATCGTTATTGGAAGGTGTTGAAAAAATAAGCCTGAAGATTGATGTGAATTTCAATGATTTCAAGAAGCAGCATTGAATAATGTCAATTTTGTTTTTTTGCAGAAAGCCAAAGTAAATCATCATCTTCAAGACCTGATTCAGCCTCAAGAAGGAGGAGACGTCCAAATACCAAGTCAGCAGATCGTTCTGGCAAGAAATCAAAAGGATTAAGTTCTGATGAATATATTACTTCTGAGAATGACAGCATCTACTCAGATGAATCTCCATCCAGGAAGTCCCGGGATGGAAAGAAGAACAAGGAAGAAATACCTGTAGACATTGCCAAGACTTTAAATAGTTGTATTGATGAATTAACTGATTCGATTACACAAAATGATGAATTAGAAGATATTAGTATGGATAGGAATATTCCAAATGGATATTCTGCAGGTGATTCTGAACAGGAACAGTTAGGCACCCGACAGAAAAATCGTCATGTTAATGGGAACTATATTCCCAGTTTACAACTTAGGAATCTCAGTCAAAGTGAGGAACAGTCTTGTGAATACAATGGACAAGATCAGTTAGAAGATTCAAGACAAATGTCTTGGAGGAGTTCTGTATCATCTGGAGGTCAATCCTCAAGGTCAACCTCTGAGACAAGGGATGCAAGTCAGCAGACGGACAGTACTTTTATGTCACTGCCAATAAGATCACCAATGTCAACACAGACAGATGGTGGTTTGCTGCATTCTCTGTCAGCATCACCTATCAGTGTATGGAACTCTGTTGATAAATGTATTAAATCTCCAAAAGGTCATAGTGATGGAGGAAAGGAAAAATCACCAGGTGGAAAGAAAATGGTGAAAACTAAACACTGCAAACTTTCTGATCTTACGCATACTACTCCAGATACTTGGTCAGCGGACATAACTGACATACCACCGAATTTCGATGCAAATGTTGATAAGGAATCTGGATCAGAATCTGACGGTGATGCTGTGATCGTGGAAACTGAAACATGTTCCCCTGCAACACCTTCAACGTCCGATCATTTTTTCGAATCTGGTTATATGGTATTACAAGAGCCACCATCAGGAAGACAAATTCCTGTTAAATATGAAGTGACTTTGAAACCTGAAGAAACAAATATTCTGTATAATGTGGAAAAAACTGAGTATAAAACATATGGACTTCATTCACCTGGCCATGAAACAGAAAATATTCCTGAAAGCATAAACATTAATATTATGGATAGAACATCAAATATTTCTGAAAACAGATATGAAACTATCACACGGCAACAGTTCCAAATAAATCAAGCAACTGATGAAACTCCTTCTGGAAATATAGTTTCGGAAAGAACATTTCGTGCATCAAGTGAATTGTCTTCTGATCGATCTGATTCAAATTTGGAAATAAGGTCTGAGCGTTCAAATGTTGAAGAAGATGAGCAACATTTTGTGGAGACAACTGTTCAAAACTATCCTATTGACAATGATAGACTGATAGGAAAAGTAGAGGATACATTTTCTCCAAGAGAATCAGATACTACATCAGACTATGGGACAATGATATATGATAGAAGGAGAGGCGTTTCAGCTGCTTATGATTCCGATGATATTGATTCTTTAGCTAGTTATGGGAAATACTTTTCTGAATCTCATGAAAATACTCCCCGTGGCAAGAAAACAAAGTTGGATAATGATCTTGCAGAAAGCACATCTTTGCATGATGGTGAAAATGAACTTCAAAATCTGGAACAAACAACAGATATGACACCAAGATCATTTACCTCAGAAGAGCAAAAGTTACCCATCGAATCCACGACCACAAGTCGTGACACTTCTAGGTCATCTGAAGATGTTTATGTCACTGCTGAAATGAGTCGTACAAGCTCTATGTCATCAGAATATAAAACACCACAACAATCACCTAGGGAGGGTAATGTAACGGATGATCTATCATGTGAAAACATTCAAATACCAGATATTTCTGACACATCTAAAGCCTTAATCAATGAAAAACTCAAAGAGGAAATGAAAATGCAAAAGACTGTATCTGTTAACACTGAACAGCTGAAAGAAAGGGAACAAGTTATAAGAGAAACATTGAAAAATGAACTTCAGAAAAAAATCGAGGATTTGAAATACAGTCGAAAAAGTAAAGACGATTCTGCCATCAGTTCTGATTTCACAGATGGAGATTCTGTTTCAGTATCACCAAGAGGAAGTCAGCTGTCTGATAAATTATTAGGTGTTGGAAATATTGGTCCTGATTTAGTTGCTGTGAGAACCACTGAAACTGAAACATCTTTCAAACCTTCATCTGGTGCTCAGTCATACTTGCCAAAACTTGTAGACATAGACAATAAAAGTGTTCAGAAAATCCCACAGAAAGATTCTGGTAATGTTTTTGATGACGAGGACTTGGAGGAACTCATGTCAGAAACGACAGAATATTTGTCAAATGTACAAAATCAAAATAACGGAGCAATAAGTGATAGTGATACAATTGGTGGTCAGGAACATCACTCACCAGCATGTATTGAAAACAAAATGTTTGTGGAAAAAGAATCAAGTGATAGGTCATTATCCCCTGGTGAAATTGTAGCAGACGACATGTATGAACAGTTTGCATCAGGTCTTAATTCTGGTAGTGGTGGTGAAATGGAGAATGAATATTTCAACAATGAAAATGACAATATTGATGGACATAATGATGACTCGAGGTCCAGCATAGAAATGGGGATTAATAGTATGCCAGAAGGCCGAAATTCTGCTGAACTTTTAGAAATAATGGACTCTAAAAATCTGAATAAGGAAAAATGTTCGTCCCTTTCAAATATCAGGAAAGATGTAGATGTTTCTGACTTCCGTAGATCTGTGTCTGAGAACTGTATGGACCAGTATGAGGAAGCTGCATCTCTTCATTCTAGTAGCTCAAATGACAGTATTGTTTTCATATTTATGGGACAGTCACATACCAGAGAAAGTATGGAGAAACTGAAACATTATACATCCAAACAAGAAGGATATAAAGTTCATGAATCTAACGATAATATTCTGTCACAAAATCATGCTAATGGGGAGACTCATTCATATAAAGACAGTGATTATAAAGATTCTGATGGGAGTATGGATAGTCAAGAAGAAATGATAACAAACATGGAACATATTTTATCACAGAATGATTTAGATAGTCCAGAGTTTTCTGAGGAAACTGGTATTGATAGTCAAGAAATATCTGAGGAAACTGGTCTGGAAAGTCAGGAAATATCAGAGGAACAATACCTTGATAGTCAGGATATATCTGAGAATATTGACAGCATGGGAGATAATCAAAGTGATCCTCTGTATTCAGGGGAGACAAGTCCACTTATGACTGAGATTGTAGAGGAAATAGTAGTTTATGATGTTAATCCAACAGATACAGCTTATGAGAATAAAAGAGTTTTTTCGAGTCAAGAAGAGGACGAGGAGCCACTCCGACATAAATTTGGAATTGATGAATCTATACTGCCCATCCCAACCAGATCTGTTTCATCAGATAACTTGCCACGTAAAATTTCAAATCAGAGAAAAATGCATAGATCAAGATCAACAAGTTTGCTGGATATGGAAAAGCCAGAAAAAATTACTACTTCAAGTGATAATGAAGGCATCTTTCCTCCAAATGTACAACACTCTGAAAGTAACAGCGGAGAACTTGAACAGAAGGAAGATAAAGAATATATCGGTGATATTGAACCTGACCTTGAAGGAGAGGATGTTGAAACTGGTAGTCCTGACATGCCTCCAACACCAGCGCCAAGTGTTGTAGACGACACAGAGGAGGACAAACAACCTTCTCATGCTATAAATCAGGATGTTCTATACTCCTCCCTCTTCCCACTTCAAACCCAGCAGTCACAACTTGATCATAATGGCAATATTGAAGACATCTCAGGAGCTCAAGATAGAACCCCTGAAAGAAGTAGACAACTAATATCACCGTCCAGATTTGTATCTGTTGGTACCCAGGCAGCTTTGGCCGATTCTGAAACTCAGACAGATGCTTCAGTGTTTATATCGCCTGATGGCAAAATAGTACAAGTATTGCCAGGTTTAGACTCACCATTAAGATCTCAGAGTATGGTCACTCTACAAGGCAGGATGACACAGTTTAATCCTTCAGAAGATTCAGAAAACTGGTACAATCTGTCCTCCCTCATGTTAGAGACTATACCATTGCTAAGAAATATAAATCAGAGGTTACCAGGAGCTGATATCAGTCAGGCTAGTTCTGTGGAAAATTTTGTCGCTGCAGAAACATCGTCTCTTTCAACACAAACAACAGGATCACTGGAGAACTTAAACAATACTGATGAAGATACAGTTAAAACAACTGAATCAAAAATGGTAGAATCCACACAGACAGAATATAATCTGAAACATTCTTTTACAGAAACATATGATTTGCCACCTGAAAATTTGGAGAAGTCAGAAATTTCCGTACAAACTGATGAACCAGAAGTTAGAGTAACGGAAAGTAGCGAAATATCTGTGCAAACTGACTTTGTGTGGAGTATGGCAAGTTCACAACCTATCACAACAACCACTGCCTCCCTGAACTATGCATGGGCTAACGAACAACCAGAAACTGCATCAGCATCTGGTTCCTTGTTCTCTGTTGATAGAACTAATACGCAGACAGGAAACATTTTAAAATCATCAGAAGAAACCACAAGAACTGAAGCTAAACCTCAACATCAGACATCTTCAGAAAAACATGTGACCAGTGATGGGGAAGATAGCTCTGAGGAAGTGTATACTGAAAATTGTGTTATGTTTTATGACTTTGTTAACAAATGTTACGTACAGAATGTGGAAAGTTCTGAATGGCATCGTTTAGAGAAAAATCGTAAGAAAAATGGACAAGAAACAATCGCTACAAATACTAGTCATCCTTCAGAAAGTGTTGTTGATGTTAGAAAACATGATACTGTTGAAAGTCATACTATTGTCAAGAATGACAATACGGAAATTGATCGTGGAGTGCGGATACATCCAAGATATAGTGAGTACATTTATAAAACCTCTCCAAAACAGACCGACTCTAAAGAAGAACAGGATGTGAAATCTGAAGAATCTAAATCATCTTACTCGTCATTACAGCAAAATGATGCCTCATCATTTAGAAATAGGTACTATCGTGACAGTACTAATCGTTATGATTTTACTGCATCAAGAAAACAGGAGGCTGACATGAATGAGCGAAATATTAGCCCTACTTACAGATCTCATCAGGAGGAAAAGAGGCTGAAGGATTTACGTTTATCAGAAACTAAAACAAAATATGACAAACCACAATATCTTCAAGAAGAAAATAAGGAAGAAAGACCTGAGTCACCAGAAGAAGTAATTACTGTAGAAGAAATAATAATAGTAAACACAGAGCCTACAGATAGTGAAATAGGAGGACAATTGACATCCTCAGAGAAAACCCACAGAGATGCACTCTCACTGAAAATAGAACCTCAGAAATCAGATTATCAGTCTGCTGATGATGATTCTCCTCAGGAGACAATTACCGAGGAAATAGTGACAATAACAGATTATATGCCATGGGAGACAACTCCAAGTAGGAAAGAAAGGCTGACTCCACTGAAAACAGACCCAAAGACAACTACACAACATCTGGAAAAAGAAGTTGTTGAATCTCCAGAAGAAACAAAAAGTGAGGAAATTATAACAGTAACTACCATTATGCCATGGGAGGTCAGTGAACAAACAAACACTCAGTCATACACATCACGTGGAAAGGAAAATCTCACTTCACTGAGAATAGAACCAAGAAAAACAACACAGGAACATATAGAGGAGGAAACAGTTGAATCTCCACAAGAATGGATCACAGAGGAAGTGGTAATAATATCTGATTCAGAACCATACAAATGGGACAGAAAATCGGTCAATGCAACCACGACTGAACCTTCAAAATGGGATAGAAAATCAGTCACTGCATCCACTTCTGAACCATCAAAATGGGACAGAAAACTGGTCTCTCTATCCACAACTGAATCATCAAAATGGGACAGAAAACCTGTTACTGTATCTAGGACTGAAGCATCCAATCTGGACAGAAAACAAGGCATTGTCTCTACAACAGAACCATCATTACAGGACAGAAAGGAAGACACTTTTTCCTCTTACATTTCACACAGGGACAGGACAAGAGACACACTATCATGGAAAACAAGGCCAACAAAAACAAATCAACGGTTGGTTAATGAGGAGAATATTGAATCACCAAGAGAAGTTTTAACTCGGGAGGTGGTAACAAAGACCCAAACAAAACCTACAGAATGGAAAGAAACTCTAGAGAGAGATCTACAGTCACTTAAGATTAAGCCTAGAACATTTAAAAGACATCACATGGATGAGGAAATTCTTATAGATCGTGAATCTCCGCAAGAAGAGGTGACTGAAGAGGTTTTGACATTCACAGTACCTATAGATAGAAAACTACATGAACCATCTTTATCAGAAACATTTAAATTCGAACGTAAAGTGCCTATTGAAAAATATGTTGATAATGAGAATATTGTTGAGGACATTGTATCTCCCAGGAAAGATGACAGTAGATATACATTGTCAAAAGATTACATCATGCCAACACGAGCTGGAATCCGTCAGAATACGAATGAACAACCGTCTACTTCTTCACAACAGTCAACTTCATCTCAGAGTGATTCTTCCCAACGTACCTCAGAAACCGGACAATCAGAACACCACTCCTTTGAAACTAAAACAATAAAAAGAAAACAATTAGATGACAAAGGAGATGATGAAAGTGATGATGAGAAGGAAGGAAGAGATGAAGTCTTTGAAAAAGTATCAGAACATCATCATTCAAAACATGACAATACTCAAGTTCAAACAATACTGACTGAACGAGAGCATGTTATGGAGACGGAATTTTACGTACCAGATATTGAGGCTAGTCAGGCTGAAATGGATGCTCTGAAGGAGGAGCATGAGAAAACAATGGAAGCTATCAGAAAAGCTTCTTCTGAAAGAAAACAACGAACTGATGATCTGAAAAACAAAACTAAAAAGGTGATAGAAACTGAATTTGAAATGACAAAAGAACTAGAAACTTTGAATGATGAGGAATTAGAGAAAAGAAATAATGAAAATAAACAAGTAACATTTGATATGAATTCAATAGAAACGAGAGAATACAGCATTATATCAGAGGATAATGAACCTCAGGTTGTACCTGAAAAGACATCGGTAACTGAATACATCACTGAAACAAAACAAGATAGATCAGACACTGATGATACTGAAAGTAAACTTCAAAAGCTGGAGACAGTGTGGAAAGATTATGTAAGGATAGAGAAAGAACTGAAACAGCAGAACGAAGAAAATGACGACAAATTAAAGCACGACTTGATAGATGATGTTATGAGTGATAATGATGAACCTTCAAATATGAAAAAGGAGAAAACTCCATCGAAATCAAGGACTGAACCTGTCACAAGACCCAATTTTAGAGAATATAAAGTGCAGACAAAAATTGAAACTGATGAGCCTCTTTCTCCTATTAAGAAAATTGACAAAACTGACATTAAGTTCATGCCAACCTACACAATTGATTATAAAGGAGATAGACCCAGAAATGATGCAGAAACTGTTGTCAAAGAGAGTATAACAAAAGTAACATCAGACAGGAAACCAGCTGTGATAACATATACACCCAGAAATGATGCAGAAACTGTTGTCAAAGAGAGTGTAACAAAAGTTACATCAGACAGGAAACCAGCTGTGATAACATCATTACCACCTGTCTCAAAAGAGAAGAAACCAACAGTTGGTTCATTAGATAAGGTACCAGCTATTGTAAAATCAGACAAGAAACCAGTAATGTCACTTCCAATATCGTTGTCAGTTGATACTTATACTAAAAACAAAGGAAATACTCGTAGTATGGGAACTGAAGTTTCTGTTGACATCTCAGATGACTTTACACAAACAGACAATGAAATTCTACCTGCTTATGAACCACCTCAAAGAAGCCAAAGGAAGGATCCTAACAGTAACCAGATCAAAAGTGAACTAGATAGATTGCACAAAGAACGAGTGGAGATCATAGAAATGCTGGCATTGAACTATCTACCTGCAAGTCTTACTGTAGAATTACTGGAAGCAAAACTAAACTACTGTATTGGACAAACTGACTTGTTGCTTGGCTCGCTGGAAGATACATGGAATAACATTCAAGATGTTATTGATATTGAAGAAGAACACAATACTCATGTTGTCACTAAAGAATACCTCACAAAATACATGGAAGATCTACGCAAATCCAAATATGATATTAAAGTATGTAAGGAAAGATTGGACATTAAATCTGGAAAAGGTAGAGGTAGGCCTTTGGGAAGAAACCGTGACTTACATAGGATTAGGAGACAGACAGAAATTGAAGCCTTTCAAGCAGAGAGGAAAATGGAGCAACAAACTTTTAATACCGTCAAATCTATTAACAGGATAAGCCCTGCATTTGATGAAATTGATAGAAAGTTCAGGAGTGCCAGTCCTAGGAATCATGATAAAATTAATATTCATACAATGTCTCCTTCAGAACATGCTGCATATTTAATCAAACTACGCAAACAAGTTGTCAAGGCAACTGAACAAGAGGATGTACGACACAGAATAAGTAGGTCCTGTTCTCCTTATGTTGGACAAAGATATAATGTGGATTATACCCCTGTAGCAAGTCCAAGAAGTTACTCAGCCTATTCAAGTGAAACACTTACTGCTTCTCCACGTATTTCTATATCAGTCACGGAACCTGTAGAGAATGGTATTGGATCCTTTACCTCCAGCGAAAGAAGATATTCTACTGATACTTACTCATCAACCAGTCAACGGAGCTATTCAGCTGATGCCAACTATTACTCATCATTGCGTCAACAAACCTATACTACTGATAGTCCGTCAAGAAGATCAGGGTCATATAGCAGAACAACACCAACTCTTTTTAACAGGTTTTCATCTCCAAATTACAGTAGATCAATGTCTCCACAGTATAACAGGTCCATTTCACCACAGCTTGATAGATCTGTTTCGCCACAGTACAATCTAAGAACTGATGTTATTAGTCCTCATTCATTTGAACAGGAATCATTGTTAGAGAGTGTTAACAGTGTTAACGAAACTGAACTACTGCTGAGGGAGATACAAGAAGCTAGAGAACGAAACCAAGTGGAGATTTCAAGAGCTGAGGAAACCCTTAATTCACACAGGTACAGTATGACACATTGCTACTCTTTGTTTGTGTATTCATAGGGACATCCTGTATTTATTTAGTCTAACAATGAGGCAGCTTGTACCAATTAAAAGCAAGTGAGTTCTGACAGAAATTGTAAAATCTTAATGATTGTAGCATGCTAAGAAAAAATTCTCAAAAGCTTTTGACCTCTTGGAATTTATCTTAAAATCAATCTTAAGAATGGTCAATTTTATATTTTTTATCAAAAGTTATATAAAAAGTTGCTTACATGTAATGTAGGTAAATAAATGATACAGTCACCTAAAACAAGTTATATTACCTGAGCAATACTGGTTTCGATGTATTACAATTTTTAATTCAACTCTTGATAAAATTTTATTTGAACTAGCTAGTGGCAAGAAAATTGGGTTAAAAGTTAAGACTAGCACTTTGAAAAAAAATATTTTTGAAATTTTGAAATGCATATAATATTTTACTCCAATATGCAAACAAAAACTTAGTTGAATGTAATTATGTCAATATTAGGTTGAAAAGGGTACTAAAAGAAATATTTTTTTTATTGAAGGAATGGAACAAGCTCCAGTATCTACAGACCTTATTCCACTTATACAAACTCTGCTTGTGATTCATTAAACACTACTAATTTAAGTGGCAGCTATGAACTTTATGATGAACGATCTAATGTTACAATGTCAAGGTCGTCCTCATGTAGATCACTTGACCATGATTCTGATTCCGTCCAAAGTAACTATTTGTCTCCAAGATATGAACAAGAAGTTTTGCATACTCGTCCTATTCGTTCATCAGACATTAAAACACGAATTCTCAGACACCGGAGATTGCCACGAACATGATGACTCAGGAACAGTATTATTATTCTGTGATATATTTGGTGCCAAAGATTTAGTTTGTAAGATGATATTATTAGTGAGAATTTATGAGATATTTTCGATAAACTGTGGAGATATATGTATGAAAGTGTGGTAAGTTTTTACAGAATTTTTGTATCTAATATTTAGTAGTATTTTGTATATAAGGAATAGCATTGAAACAATTCTTGAAATATTTATTTATAAGATTTATTGTAAAAAAAGTAGTGCAGTATACAGGAAAGGAATACTGAATATGCTTTACTCGACAGTTTTTAGTGTGTTCTTAGAAAAAATATTGCAGAGTAAAAGTATTGTACTCTGACAGCAGCTTTGTTAGTTCTTTGGCAAAAAAAGTGGAATAACGACAGTTAAACATAATATAAACTTATATATATAGAAACTTTCAGTTGTGTACAGCTACTATTTTGCAATAAGTTTTTCCAATGTAAGAAAGAGTACAAAGATTGCAAAAAAATGTTTGACAAGGATACCTTTATTTAAATACATACACACACACACACACACACAAAACAGCATTATCAATGACATTCAATGATGATATAGCTATCTGAAATTTTCACATTTCTATGGGTAAAATGATAAATTAAGTATGAAATTAGGAAGTTTATGATTTATCAAATGAATAAGGGACTAACTTTCTAAAGTTTAAAGTGTAATTTCCAATAACCCATACAACTGTTTTAACATGAATTGAATTTATATTCTTAAAAAATAGGTTTAAGCAGGTATAGTTCCTTCCGGGAATTGTGGTGATTTTACAGTTTATATTTTTCCATTAATGGATGAGCTTTAATTCAAACTTATTGATTTTTTATTATGTATTTCAGAGTGATTTTAAGAAGAAAGAAGACTGGATGGATGGAAGAAAAAATGAGTTATATATTTATTCTGTTGATGCATGGATGAAAAATGAAGATCGTCACATAATATTTATTTTTACACACATTACACATACATGTATTCATTACCATTTTACATTTACCAACCTTCTAAATCTAGAAGTCATTTACAAAATTGTACACACATCCATTAATAGATAACAGATATTTTTTTTAAATATCTTATTTTGTTGATTTTTAGTAGAAAATTCATACTTCATTTATAATACTTCAAGCCTTCTTATTTTATATGGCAGTAGTCATATTTTAATATTTGACAAATGAAACCGTCCTTTTTTTAAACGAATAACAAATTCCTAGTCATTAAAATTTGTCTCACTTCAGTTAAAAAATATTTCATAAAGAATTTTCTTTATTTTCTGTGATCAATTCATTATTTTCTAGTCTGAGAATATATTTCTTTACAATGTGATAAATATAAGAACAAATTTAAAGTATATGATATAAAAGTTTAAATCCATATTTATATCAAATTTATTTTTATTATGCAGATTCATTTTTTTATACGCCTGTTTATGGGACTTATTATGGTATACCGTTGTCCGTCCGTCGTCAACATGTCGGACATTAACTCAAAAACGCTTTAACCAATTTGCAATAAACTTTGGTTAATTGTTTATATCTATTGACGTGAGTTCCCTTTCAATTTTTTATATATTTTAGATTTTACGTTTTCGAGTTACAGGGTTTTATTCATAAAAAAAGGGGGATTTTCCAGTTTTCTGACAAAAAAATCAAAAATTCTGTCAGCAATTCTCATGAAACTTTGGTGAATTGTTTATATCTATTGATGTAAGCTCCCTTTATATTTTCATAAATTTCTAAAATGACATTGAGAATTAATTGAACTTTAATTGTTTATAGTCTGACAACACTCAACAGATTTACTAAGTATTGCGCAACAGCACAGTGTATTGCACAACAGCAAGAAATCTTTAATTGAATATAAATTCAATTCATATAACCAATTTCAAGTTCTTTGACTACATTTATTCAGAAACCTATAATATGTCAAATATTTAATACAATCCAAATTCAGACCTGTATCAAGCTTGAATATTGTGTCCATTTTTGCCCCAACTGTTCAGGGTTGGACCTCTGCGGACATATCCAGCTGCCCTCAGCAAAGCAGTTTATTATTGAATGTACCAGTATGTCATAACAACAGGAAAAATATGATCAATACATGTTTGAAATTTCCATTGTTCATGTTGATCAAATATAGTTTTTTGTTCTAAATTTTATATATGAAATATTTTTGCAATTTGCAAAAAATGGATAAAATTCTGAAAATATTTTAATTAATTTAAAAACATTTATGCAAATATGGCTTTCTAATGATAAAGGAACAAAATAAGGGCTGTGTGCCATAGCCCAAAAATGAATGTAAAAATATGGCATAATCATGTTTAACAAGTTATATATCAAAATAAGTACATGTGCAAATGATGTGATAAAATTAGAAATCTATGCATTGTTGAATTGTTAAAATATTTATTTATTGTTTTTTTTAAGATGTGTAATGATAAAATGTTCAACATTCCAATTTTTATACTGACAATTTGAGAGTTATTAATTGTTCACTTGACATCAAACATTGTTACTATGAAAACTTACAATGGAACCTTGTCTATCTGTTACCTGTTCTTCCATGCCTGTATTTACTTTTTGGGCAACCAGTCTATTATGATCCTTTAATACATATTGAAACTGAATTTACAATTTTTATTTATATATTTATTTGGTCTAAATGGATATCTGTTGAAAAGATTTTAATTTTTACTTAAATTTACAAATAAATGATTTTTGCTGTGTATGAAAGAAAAGTTTTTTTCACTTATGTATTATGTTATCACTATATTTTTTTTTCTCAAAATGTGAATATTTTTTATTCATATAGAAATAAAATGGTCTCATCACAAGAAGAAAACACATTAGGTTCTTCTGTTTGCCATATGTAGAATTAGTAGATACTTCATGGACATGGCTTATTGGCCTTCTATAGGGTAAACAGATGGGTGGTCTTATGATCATTGTATGTAACATGTAGGCTTGAATTTTGTTAGGATGAACTGTAAAAATTAATTATTTTGATGAACTTGCCAGTTTTACCAATAGTTTGTTTGGTGGATAAATATTTAAGATACCATTGTTTTAATTTAAAAAAAATAATAATATTATATTCAGGGATTCGTGTAGATATATAAATTGAATACTCTGCAGTATAAATTATCACCCCTTTCATTTTATTCATTTCATTTTCAATGGTTGACAATAGAGAATGCCGTCCAAATATTATATTTTACAGAATTTTTACATCTTTTCTTCAATCATTCCCTGTATAAAACATCTTCACCCAAAGAAAAGGTTGAAACTATTATTTTTTTTTTATATTTTCATAAAATGAAATTTATTACTTTTATATTTAAAAATATTTTGTTCCAGCCCTATATTTATATCAATTCATTACATTCCAATGATATTTATTGCGGGACTCAGTAAAAAATAGCTTGAGAAACAGATTTTTTATACACACCTTATTACTGGCTATCTGTACCGCAGATGCAACAGGTAACACAGGTCAAAATCTGCTGTACACGATTGCAAAATCCAATCGAAATGCAGACAACAATCTGCTGCATACAATGGCAAAACATTCTTTTTTAATAGCAATCGGGAACATAGATGCTATTTTATCTGCCATAACTGCCATAATGATAGCCAGTAATAGGGTGTGTTAAAGGTATTTTAATGCTGTCAAGGAAATATTTCATATGTTTCATTTCTGAGAGAATGAAACTAACTAAAAACACAATGTTGTATTGAAGTTACCTGTGATATGTAAGAAATTCATTGTTCATAATATTTAGAATATTATAACATGGTTATTTACTTTATGCTTGAAATTATCAGTTCATATACAGCTGAAATAGGGTGTTGAAGAAGGTGAGGGCATTCCTTGGTATATTATTGAATTTTCACAAGTTAAGAATATTTTCACTTGTTGCACTAAGTAATAAATATATTTATATAAGTTAGTCTGATGATGACAATAAAATATTGAAAAATAACACTTTGTTTTTACATTTAAGCCTTATCAGATATTGACTTCACTGAGCATACATAGTTGTTTCTTTGTTATATAAAAACTAGAGACTCTGAAAAGCCTGTATCACTCACCTGCATATTCAATAATTGCCACTTGTTTTGTAAAAATCATCAGTAAAGAGGAATGACAGTATTTAGAGTATAACTGACAATTTCAGCCATGTTGACATATTTGTGGATCTTTTATAAAGTTTCTGTTTATACATTCTAGTTTTCAAGATAATAGGCAAACTTTAAAAATTGGGAAAATCGTCATTAAAGGGCAGTAACTTTAATAAGGAGTCGACCAACATCTTCAGTCGTAATGACTTATTTGTAGATTTTGTCTTGCTGGTAATTTTTCGAGATAATGGGCAAAAATGAAAAAAATTGGTAGAATTCATCGTTTAAGGACAATAACTCCTATAAGAAGTTATCTAACAGTTTGGATGTCAACAGACATTTATGTAGATCTCATGATTCTGAACATTTTTGCACATTTCCTCTATCTTTAACAATTTTCAGGATAATAGCCAAACATTGCTATTTACCCTTATGTTCTATTTTTAGCCATGTCGGCCATGTTGGTCAGCAGGCGGGGTCATTGGACCCATTTTTTAAACTAGATACCCCAATGATGATTGTGGCCTAGTTTGGTTCCAATTTGCGCAGTAGTTTCATAGGAGAATATTTTTGTAAAAGTTTACGGACGCCAAGTGATGAGAAAAGCTCACTTGGTCCTTTGTGCCAGGTGAGCTAATAAGATGAAACAACTCTCCACCAGAGACCAAATGGTGTAGAAGTTAGCAGCTATCAGTCACTGTATGGCCTTCAGCAATGAGCAAAACCCACACTTTACAGCAGTCGATAAAATGCCCTAAAATGACAAATGTAAAACAATTCAAATATAAAAAACTAATGGCCTTATTTATTCTGAAGAAAACCATTGGATTTTGTTGGCTCGTGTGCTTTTGAGGATTTAGTTTTATTGAATTACAGGACTGACCAACCAACATGGCCGCTGCTGTAAATGGTCCATAGTTGCTAAAATACTTTCCTGTAGTTAAACTGTAAGAACCAAATGTTAGAGAATTGTTTCTTTAATGTTTCAATTTCAGAAAAAGCTTGATTCTTTTCAAATTGTGTTGGATAATGTTAAAACAGCCAACCAACAATCATTTCAAACAAAAAAATTCTCCGAAACTGACCTTATCTAGTTGCTTTATTTCTTGATTGACAACATATTTGAAGGACGTGTTTTTCAACAAGCAATCTGCATTCCCCTGGGAACAAACTCTGCTCCTCTTCTTGCCGACTTGTTCCTTTATTTATATGAGGCTGACTTCATACAAAAGCTTCTAATGGATCATGAAAAGAAGCTAGCATTATCCTTGAATTTCACTTTCCGCTATATAGATGATGTCCTCTCACTAAATAATTCAAAGTTTGGAGACTATGTTGAACCCATCTGTCCCTTCGAACTTGAAAGAAAGGATACAACCAATACAGTTAAGTCTGTCTCATATATTGACTTCCATAGAAATTTACAATGAGGGTCGGTTGAGAACAAAACTTTACGACAAAAAATGATGATTTCAGCTTCCCAATTGTGAACTTTCCATTTCTATGAAGTAACATTTCAGCAGTCCCTACATATGGATATCTCCCAGTTGATGAGATATTCCAGGGCTTGCATTTCCTATCACGATTTCCGTGATAGAGAGTTGCTGCTCACAAGGAAGCTATTAAACCAAGAGTTCCAAAAGAGAAGCAAAAGATACCCGCAAAGGGACATTCAAACTCATAAATCGAAACAAACTGACAACGCCATGGCAACAAAAGACAAACAACAGTATACAAAACACAACGTAGTAAAATAAAGACCGAGCAACACCATCCCCACAGGGTATCTCAGGTGCTTCGGAATGGTAAGCAGATCTGCACCACATGTTGCACCCGTCGTGTTGGTCATGTAAGAACAAAATGAACGAATAAAAGCTTATTTTCAAAAAGTAAAACCCCTTTAAAACAAATGAATAATCATGGAAAGGAATGCAATTGGCGCCTTATTTCAAGCTAATTTACTATTTTTCATTACTTTAATCAAGTATTTTCAAATTCACATGAGTGGCAGCTGTGTCAACAAAGTACTTAGATAAAAAAATAAAATATTCGAATTTTCTAATTAAAAAAAAAACGGTGGATGGAAATGCACTTTATACATTTATAATCTTTGTTGTGAGAAAAGACACCATAACTTAAAAATGTTATTAACTTAATTTTAGGGGGGAAATAATTAATTTTAAAAAAAGTTTGTTTCAAAGTAAAAACTAAATAAACTAAATGAATCAATGAAATAAGTCACCCTCTTAAAGGGTATAAACTAGTTCAAAAAGTCAAACTGATTGTTCAAAAGGTCAATATGCTTGGTCCAGAAGCTAAAAACCTTTGGGGTGAAGGGATTGAAGAGTTGAAGGTAAGTCAGTTGATACTATAAGAAAATTATATTACTAAACCCTTGTTAGTATTGATATATGAATTTATCTAGTTTGAGTTCTTCTTCGGTTACTCCTTACTGTATTTGTACATTTTTAGAAATCAAAAACCTTTCAAACAATTTTGCCAAAGTATATCAAATATACATTTAAATTATCCTTACTATTTTGAACTTATCATAATCATGGAATTATGTAGATTCTGGCACATTATGACATTTGCATTAATTTTGAGTTCAGAATTCCCTTTAACGATAATATAGCATACGAAGTAACTTAGGTAATTACAAACAGAACCGCTAAAATATACCGTTGAACTATTTTTTTTTCTATCTATTTATATATTAAATAAAGATTCTTCTCATGATATCTTTAGAAGGAATTGGGGTGAATATGAAAACTCAACTACACGTAACACTTAATTTGCATGTAAACTTCTAGTTTGTATTACCTCTATACATTTTACAAAATCAAACGAAAACAATAAGTTACAATTAAGTCTGAGATTGCTGTGACTTGCTGAGGGACGAGTACATATCCCACGACCCTGAGGCCTCGTTAATCCCTAATAAGCCGTCAGCCGTCGGGGATAGATCTCAGACAAAAAATGACGAAAGACAAAAACAGTTGACAATATACAAAGTCCAATGATCCATTTTTTCTTAAATGTTTTATTCAACTTTTTTAGAAGTCTTATTTTCATCTGCAATACAATAACTATGAATGAAAAGAAACAAAAGTTCTGTTTCAATTTCATGCGAAGTAGAAGAATTCATCTAAAATATACAGCAGAGACATATATACACATGTATATATATGTCTCTGTATACAGTGATGCCCTACTCTATATAATACAATCTCTAAAACCAATGCATAGATTTTTATAAAAAAAAAAAATAGATACGTTGTTGATACATACATTTCTTTTGATTAATATAAAATAATCCAAAGGGTCACTCACTTCGCTTTTGATATATATATATTAATAATTTAATTTTGGATGTAACGCGTCTTCTGATTGGCTGACGTTGTTTTGTTTATCAGCTCATAGACATAATTTTGTCATGGGACCGTGACCTCATCAACGTTTTTTCATGGTTTACTCCGGTTTAAAATGGAATTTAGAATTAAATTATAAGAAATGACTGTAATATTTTTTCTGTCTATTCGAAATAACATAAAAAAATGTGGTGCACACTTTAAAATAACCCGCTACGCGGGTTATTCAGTGTGCACCACATTTTTGATGTTATTTCGAATAGACAGAAAAAATATTACAGTCATTCCTTAAATCAATGTTGACGTTGGGCTTATCTCGACGTTTGGGGTATCTTTTGACCTAAAATAACCTTTGACTGATCGATGTATACCGATAAAAGGTGGCTAAGTTATATGCAAATGTTTAACAAAATCTGTGACATAGCCCATTTACTGTTTCTTGATCTAAAGGAACATTTAAACTGCCGAATTGTAGGAAAATTTCTATGCCCGTATGATTCTTACTACAAATGGGATATCACATCCCAATGTTTACGATGATGTTGTTATAATTCCAGCAAATTTAGATTATATTCATGTAATTTCATTTATCTTTGGAATAAACTTATTCTGAAAGGTTATCAATTTTACACCATAGAAAGATCTTAAACATGTTAAAGTATTGTTTTTCATCGTTACTGAAATTAATTTTGTTATTGATAAATTAAAGCATAGTCTGGGAGAACATGATTAATTTATAAGTCGTGTTTGGCCTTAAACTAGCTTTCAAGGACTATTATAGCTGGCTGTTTGGTGTGAGCCAAGGCACCGTATTGAAGGCCGTACTTTGACCTATAATTGTTTACTATTTACAAACTGTGACTTGGATGGAGAGTTGTCTCATTGGCACTCATACCACATCTTCTTATTTATATTCATTAACTGCGAGTAATCTTAGATCAGTACTTTGTGACTTTTGTCTTTATGTTAGTTGTGTTTTGTGCTTAGTGCCGGTCTGATGAACCAAGCTATGATCTAACTGTTAACCACTGTTCCGGGCTACAGAAGGGTTGAGCGCTCATTATCGTGTTTAACCCCTCCACATTCTTTATTTGCCTGTTCCTATAAAACAGAAGCTGTCTATCATATTTATTTTGTGTTTGTGTTTATTGTTTTATCGTAAACCAGGTTGTTGATTTTTTCTCGTTTGATTTTTTCATGTCGGTGCCTCTTATAGCTGACTATATGGTATGGGTTTTGATTATTGTATGAGGTCGTACGGATACCTACAATTGCTTTCATCCAAATCTATATATATAAAAATAAGAATATGTGGTATGATTGCCAATGAGACATTGCTCCACAAGAGACCAAATGAAACAGAAATTAACAACTATAGGTCACCGTGCGGCCTTCAACAATGAGCAAAGCCCTTACCGCACAGTCAGCTATAAAAGGCCTCGAAATGACAAATGTAAAACAATTGAAACGAGAAAACTAACGGCCTAATT